ATATTCTTATATTAATTAACTAGTCAAATTAATTAGAATGATAATAGATAAATATTATTTACATTAAAATGTTAATTAAAAGCAATACTTTATATTAGATAATTAAATCTAGAAAACTACATTAGATGACAAAAAAGAAATTAAGGTATTTATGGGTAGCTAAGTTATATGGAAAATATGGTAACCTCTCGAATTTTGTAAATATGACAAAATATTTAAATTTTTATTTTTAGGTTTTTGCTAATTCCAATTTTACCCTCAGGTGTATTCGATAATGATAGATTTATTTATGGCTCGTTTGGTAACTGGCCTTCTCATTTCTCATTTCCAAATTTTATTAAGAAACTTAAGCATTTTGTAACTATTTATGAGCGCATTTGGTAACGTTCCTATTTCTTTATTTTTAATGAAGAAAAATGAATGGCACTGCTCCAACATCCATAAATTCAAGTATAATAAAACAATATTTTTATTTATGTTTTGGAACAAGCTGAAAATCAGAACAAGAATGAAGAAACTTGTTTTGGTTGTCTTCAAATTTTTTGTACAATTGTTAGAAAGTTCGCAAATAAAGAGAAACAAGAAACTTAGTTGCAAAATGTTGTTAGAAAATTGGAAACGAAAAACAAGAAACGAGAAACAAGAAATGAGAGTGTTTACCAAAAGGGCTCTATGTTTCTTGGATTTTTTCACGTTAATTCCTGTGTTTCTTTTTACTGCTTTTTTTAAAATTCTCAGTTATTATCTGTTTATTCATGAGTAGGAGATTTTTTCCATCAGTTTTCGATTTAATCTTGTGGTTGGTCCTTATAATTTTAAAATTTTTAATTCTAATTCCTATGATTTAGTCAAAACTCATAAACTATCCATATCATTATCGTATTGAATAAACAACACACACATTTTATATTTATATCAACTTATGTTTCTACCCTTCCAAATATAGTTTAGTAGATAAAGACCCATATTACAAAATCTCAAAAGTTGATGGTTCGATTTTTCATCCTTGAACTAAAAAAAATTTGTGCTTTCTAATTTGCGTTTAACTTTTAATTGAGTAAAAAGAGGAACCATTCAAAAAAGAATAGTGAGGTTTCTACAAAATTATAAAATCCAATTTAAAACTTTTAGAACTTCTTTTTTTTTTAAGTTAAAAAAAACTTTAAAAACTATTTGGACTAAAAGTGGAAATAAACTCAAATTATATAGATTATAAACTTTTAAAAGCATGGAGAGGAAATTAAAATTAAAGACCATATGTGTAGTTTTACCATAATTTTAGTATGATAATTTAAAGTGAGTTAGCATAAAAGCAATAAATAATAGTAATAATATTAAGGGAAAAAAAAAAGAACACTACAAGAAATTTGATTCGTCCACGAAATTTATTAGTACCAATTTTATGTTTTATTATTTTTATTTTACAAATTTGATACAATACTTAAATTTTCTTTAAACCTAAAACATAAATTACATAGAAGTAAATATATATGCTAGACCATAATTATGGATTGACAAATCAACATTATTTCATATAAATTAAATTCGTACAAAATATAGGTTCAAAATAAGATCGAGAAAATATAATAATAGCCTAAATCTAAGCTAGAAGACTTCATCTCCATCCAATTCTTCACAATTTTCAACAATAAAAAGTCTTCAAATGATATCAAATATTACCTAAAATAAAAAATAAATAATAGAAAAAGTTTAACCAGAAGCTTAGGCGTGTCTAAAATGTATTTTTAGTATTTAAGTAACGAAAAATGTGTTTAAAGGAAATTAAACATGTCTAACTCACCTCTAAATACTATCAAAACTAGCGTCTTTTGCTCTAAGTAGCTTGAATGTCCCTGATGGTGACGTCAAAATTCACTCAAACTAACCCTTAAAAAGTCAAATATGTGCTTAACTCACTCCAAACTCACCTAAAATAACCCTTTAAAAAGGTTAAGAACTTTGTTTAACTCACCCAAACACACTCCAAACCCAATAAACTCATCGAAACACACCTCAATCTTACAAATTCACAAAAAAAAAACTACTTGTCTAACTTAACTCACCGCACATCTCATAATCTCACCTAGTTAGTTTTTTCTTAAGTACAACAGGTGGGGTGAGGGATTGAATGTCCCTATTTTTGTCGTCGTTAATTTTTAGGGAAAAATGACGCGTCGAAATTTCGCTCTTTTTCAAAAGTTTCCATCATAAAAAAAAGAGACTTTTATCGCGCAAGAGTAATGCTAATGAGTTCATCAACAAGACTTCAACTGACGAATTATAAATTTCATCAACATAAGTCATTTTTGTCGACGAAATCAAGGAATTGAGACAAAATTCAATTTTACCGATACAATCGAATTTCATCGAGACTTAACGTATCGACAATCATGTAGGGGAATCAATAATGTTGGGAGAAAAGTGAAGTTTAGGGTATGATATGAGAATGAAGATAAATTGAAAAGTGTGTGTAGGTGTAAGATGTCATTTTCTCCAAAACAATTATCACCAAAAAAACAAGTTAGAGAACGCTCCAAACATGTTCTTATTATATGGTTCCCATCCCTCTCCCTCTCCCTCTCCCTCTCCCTCTCCCTATGAAAGCTCCTGTGAATATGTTTCTTCTCATTTTCATTTGTCTTCCCTCACTATCTCTCTCTAATATTTCACAAATTGAAATTTTTTATTATATTTTATTTTCAATTTAAGTTAAATTACCAGTTTAGTCCCTGAACTTTCGAGTGAACTTTAATATGTGCTTAATAGGTTTAGAAAATATTGAGCAGATTAGAAACCTATTGGATATAAAAACACCTCTAAAAGAACGTCTGGTTATGTTTATATTGACATTTTTAAAGTCCATTTAATATTTTGTTTCAATTTGCTAAATTTTAACAATATAAAATTAGTAGCGAGAGGTCTCTCTCTTTGAAATAATTTTTTAAAACCGGTTGAAAGATCAAATTTTGATAATCTACATATTCAAAGGTTAAAGATACTATTTTTTTTAATGAGAGAACAACTTTAATTATTCTCCAGTAAAATAAGTAGCTTTTATATGCAAAATTTCAAGATTAAAACAAAATATCTGATTTCTATGGAAGTAAACCCAAAAGTTCAAAGATTAAAATAAAATAATTTAGTAAATATGAACATATTTCATTGGCTAAATCATCTCATTCATTTCTTAAAAGGTTTCTCTTTTTACACAAATAAATAAAATAAGATCATCTAAAAATGGGAGAGAGAGCATGTGAAGAATATTTAAGAGTAGAGTGGAAAGTTGCTATCAAATGTGGATGAATGGTCCTTTTACACTCATTTTCTTCTCTCTTTTTTACCATTTTCACCCTCTCTTTATCCTCTAGTTTTGGAGATATATTTAAATTTAAATGTCAAAATCATTTAAATTTTTTTTAAAAGATATATGAAAGAAATAACCCATTCAAAAAACTCTTCGTGGCATATTTCTACTACTATTTTTATGGTTAGCGACACATCTACGACTTGACAGCTTGTAGTTAGTACTGGATCCCACATTTCATATTCGTGCTAAATGTGTTACACTTTTCAATCCTTTTGTCGTATTTGTTCAAAATAATAATAATAATAATAATAAAAACTTCGATAACTCAAAAAAAATATCAACCCAACCTAAATGGTTAGGTTGTTCTAGAGTTGATCTTAAATTAAATTTTAAAAATGGCTTTTATAGATTTAATTTTTTTTAAATCTTTTAAATTATTTCTTTTTTCCTAATAAATTTTAGAAAATAATTATTTTGGATAATTTACCCTCCCAAAAATTGAGTTAGATTTAAGATGAGATGGCAAGAGAGATAGGTTGTTGGTGGTTGGGTGTGAATGTGAATAGTACCAAATGGTGGGCTACAAATCAAAAGAGAAATCAACATCCCAATGTCTTTTTGTAAAGTGGAGTACATACATTATAGGAACAAATTTCCATTAATATCCCTCACTTTTTCTAAATAATAGAAATAAAAATAAACAAAAATAAATAATATTTATAGAATGAACTAGATTTTCTAACATTAAAAATTCCAACTTCAACTCTCCTCATTTTTAAGTCTTCATCAAAAAAGAAAAAAGATTTTTCTCCACTACTTTAAACTATCAATATCATATTTTTTTTCTTTTCCTTTTTAGTGCTTTGAAAACTGGGGTATCACCAAAATTATATTTTAGAAAATTAAAAAAGCAATATTAGCAGTATACTCTCTCTGGGCCTTGGCAATCAAAAGCCCAAAGTAAAATGAGCCCGTTTTAATTCTGGGCCTAATGGCCCAGACTGTATCACTCTTTGAATTTCTATCCAAAGTTACCAATTTACGTTTCTATTCGATAACATCTTTTTGTTTTAATTCTTGAGTTTATTAATAATTATTCCTTCTTTTTTTTTTTTGACATGATAATTATTTCGTTTTGATGTTTAAACTTTCACATCTTTTGTTTTTGTCCCTAAATTTCGTATAAACTTTCACTTGTTGCATGTGATTTTAAAAGGTCATAAGTATAAACACCCATTCCTATATATTGTTGTACTAAAAAAAGGACAAAATATTTGTCTATGTTACACTTCAATTAATAGTTTAGGAAAAAAATTAATGGCAAAGTTCATAATGACCTTATAAGTAAAGTTAAAAACTTAGCTCAACTGGTTAAGACATTTATTTTTAATTAGGAGATCGTGAGTTCGAATCTCTACTCCTGCATAGTATTATATTAAAAGAAAAAAGAAGTGCATGTAATTGCCTATGTTACATGTCAAATTGATGATCAAATTAGTAATATTTTTCTTTGGTTAGATTTCATCAAAATCTAATAACTCACTTAACGGATTGCTATATCATATCAATAAATTTTATCACGCAAATCTTTGATCGACCAATAAAAATATAGTGGAGATTAAAAATAAACATAATTAAAAATATAACAACCAATTAAAATGTCATAAAATAGATGAGATAAACTAAATTTATCGGAAAAAAAAAAAAAGTTTCAGAGACAAACCATGTGGGCGCCTCTCCGCGCGTGTAATTCGCTCTCGGCCACCACTTCTGCGCTTCACAGTCATCAATGGAAGTCCGAAGTCCGAACTAAGGAGCGAAACGATGAGCTTCATCAATCTGTTGAAGAACTTTTCGAATCAATCTCCAATCCATTGTATGATTTCTCGGATTTCTTCTCCGAATCGAAGCCCTAATTTTTTGATTTACTATGATCGTCAAGCTTAAACCCTAGTTTCCGTATAATTTGATTTCCATTCTACATCCTCCCGCCGTATCGATCGTGCTTTGAACTTGTTAGGGCCACGCTTTTTATGGATTTCTATGAACCCCTGGTTGTAGTGCCATTCGATATTCTTCTCTTTTGCTAGTGTCAAAATCTAGGGTTTTATTATCGTGGCAGATTACATGTATGGCTTCGGTGCTGCGAGGTGGCGGTGATGCAAGAGAAAACCCCGGTGGGAGGGCGGAAAATAACAAGTTCGGTACCGGAAAGCAACAAATCGAGAGAAAATTTGGCAAACACGTCGCCCAAAAATCCGTACAGATTCCAGCCGTCGCGGCCACCAATGGCGGTGGTGATCCGTCTCCTCCTCCTCAAAGTCCGATCGATGTTTTAGTCACGTCAAGGAATTCCTTGGGTCAGAATCGCTGCATCGAGCCGGTTAATGCCAGGGAGCCAGGATATACGAGGTTTGAGAACCGGGTTAGGATTAGTCTGAATTCCAGGTCGAGGTCTGGGATTAAAGAACTCACCACAAAGCTGAAGGGTGAGCTTGATCAGGTCAGGAGCCTCGTGAAGAAGTTTGAAGCTCAAGAGTTGCAGATTAGTGGCTATGGTGGTGATGTTGGACATAGCCAGTCACAGTTTTCAGCGAATAATTTGGTAGAGAAGGCTGGTAGCACATTAAAGGTTGGTTCCGAGGTGGGTTCCGCAGACGTGCCCACTTCGAGGCTTGTTCAAAGCGTTTCGGTCGCAGGAAACTTTGGGGAATTTGCAGAGAAAGAGATGAGGACGCCTAAAAATTCAAAGCATGCTCCTGAGAAGGAGTTCCTGCCTTCGGACTGTGATTCAAATGGAGGTAAGATTGGTCCAATAATCAAGAGTTGTAGTAATTTGCTGGAAAAATTGATGAAACATAAACATGGTTGGGTATTTAATGTGCCTGTTGATGCAAAGCGTTTGGGGCTTCATGATTATCACAAGATTATAACAAAGCAGATGGATTTGGGTACCGTGAAGATGAGACTAAATAAGAACTGGTACAAGTCACCAAGAGAGTTTGCAGAGGATGTGAGACTTACATTTAGTAATGCCATTACTTATAACCCAAAAGGAGAGGATGTTCATTTGATGGCGGAGCAGTTGTCTAAGATATTCGAAGAGAAATGGAGGATTATCGAGGCCAAACAAAATGTTGGTAAGGGATTACAAAAGGACGATGGTTCAGTTTTACCAACACCCACTTCTAGGAAATCTCCAGCTCTTGCGACTCCTCCGGTGGAATCGAGAACCCTAGAGTCTACAACAAAGCCTCTGCCTGCAAATAGGGGGATTTTAGGTAAATCAGATTCAATAACTAAACCCCCCAATGCCAAACAGAAACACGCAAATGTTGCCCATCATCCTGATAAAAAATCAAAAGCCAAGAATAGCGAAAACAGAGATATGACTTATGAAGAAAAACAGAAACTGAGCATTGACCTTCAGAATTTACCATCAGATAAGCTGAACAATGTTGTCAAGATTATTAAGAAGAGGAACCAGGGGCTCTTCCAAAATGACGATGAAATTGAGTTGGATATTGGTAGCGTTGATTCCGAAACCCTCTGGGAGCTTGAGACATTTGTAGCAGATTACAAAAAAAGCTTGATCAAGAACAAGAGGAAAGCTGACGCCAATCTTCACTCTGGAGAAAAATCATCTCACCACTCTACCAAGGACACTGTAAGATGTGCATTAAATTAGTTACAATTTCAAGTTTCTTTCTTTCTTACAAAAAAGGTCCGCAGGGTGAAACATAGCTGTATTTAATGATGCAGGATCGAGCTGTGGCTAATGCAGGAGAAGAACCTGTAGGTGGTAATGCAGGTAAATTTGTTGAAATTATTGGTAACGCTTCTAGGGTGCTTTTGAGTCTAATGGTGACTTTAACTATATAGGTCACGTAGAAAAGGAATAGTATAAAAGAAAATAAAACACGTCTCTAAAATAGTAACAACCTCTTGGTATTAGGTTATTGTCTGATTTTACCTTAGGTTGTTGGCAACCCACCTGCACCGTGTTGATGAATGCTTAATAAGATTTATAATTGACATACCAATTTTCTGAAATGTGACTCAATTAGTGGTCTAGGAGTAACTTTAAAAGGTTAAATGATAATATGATCTCTGTTGCTATGTTCTAAAACGTCATGGATTTACTTCTTTGTTGTACAGACTCTGAAGGTGATAGTTCCTCGACATGTGGAGATGCAAACCAGTCTCCCTCAAGTTGAATCGACTAAACTAAGGTAGAAAGTCGAAGTCTAATACTGAACATGATAGTTCTCTTCATATTTTTGTTGGCTTGGAAGTTTCACATATGAACATTTATTCTAATGTGTTGTCTTTGGCTGAATCAAAGAGGTTAAAAATTGACTTCCATTGGGCTGCTATAAACATATTGGTTTTTTGTGCTACTACCTTCTGCTCTTTCAGTAGACTCTCCTGTCAATATTTAACAACTCGGAAACCGAGAAGACTGAAAAAAGTCTGAAAAATTAGTAACCATTTTCTGGAGCATCATCATCTTTCAAGTTTGGATTCTCAATGCTTGCTAATATGCAATTAGAAACTTGGAAGTTGATTGATCTATTATCTTCCAACATTTACAGTGCATAATCTCTTTATCTGGACTGGAGACAATCCTGTGTGAATAATCATATATTTTGATCATTTCACATGCTAATGAAAGAAGTTTCCTTGTAGGCATCATCTGATCTAAAAGATTGTGTTCATCTTGCTTGCACTCTACACCAGATAGGTGAATTGATATCAAGTTTCATTATTTGTTATCATTATTATTACTTCATCGCTCTTCATCATTATGGATTTCATATGGTTTTGCTTAAAGAATCTCCAAACCTTTACCTAACATTCATTTTTATATATCAAAACTGGAGTTAGGAGGGTAACAGAATGAAGAACCTCACATATTCATTCATGTCCATGCTGTAATTTACTAGTTCTCGTTGCTTGCGATTATCGAAGAGTAACGAGTTATGTTTATGAATCAAGGTTTTTTCTTATGAAGATGAAGAAACTATCTGTGCAATCTAAAATTGATGAGCTCATTCCTCTGCATCAGGATGGTGTAGTTTGGTTGGTGGTAGCATCAGAGCAATCTTCCATGCTCATTCAGAGGAAAGAGATCAAAAGTTTTCTTGATAATTCTAGATGATGGAATCAGAAATCCCATTCATGGTTTCCTTTGCATTTTATGAATACCCACTTCCCCATTTCTTCTCTTGACAATTGTAACTCCATATTTTTGTAAAATAAGATCTAGGAGCTAGTACATCCCAATTCTCTTCCAAGTTCTACAGTCTAGGATTGATCTTTCCATGTTTTTTGGTCCCAAACTTCTTTACATCCTTGTAACATTTAATGTTGCATGTATATATGAAAGCAGTCTTTGACATTTCTTTCAAAATGAATTTGATCTCTTTTTTTCCTTATCTTTTCTTGCTTTTGAGTTACACAAAGGCGGGGTGGGAGATCGAACCATTAGCTTTGGGATGATAACAGGTGTCTTAGCCATCTACTAGGTTCGGGTTGACAATATGGATTTGATATATGCTATGATTCAGAAAGAGAGATATAATTGAAAGAATAGTGACTGAATTTGATTTTTGTATTTAGAACCTTTGCTGCAAAATACTTTTAGTACAGTATTGATTATTTAAAATTAAAGTTTAATGCTTAAGTGATAAGATTATTATGATGATGAAACGATGTAATTGAATTAAATTTTGAAGAAGAATATATAGACATCAATTAATTTGTCCAAGGGTAAACAGACAAGGTATTCTTTGTCAATCCTCCATGGATTTAGTCCGAAGTCAATCTTATTTAGTAAAACCGAATTCGACAAAGAAAAGAGAGTACTCAACTGTGTCAACAGCCAACAAAGGTATGGCCGTGATTACATAGATAACATTTTCTCCTTTCCTTCCTTTCTTTTAAGACTTCAAAACATAACCGTATGGTGGCCGGAAAGAAAGGCAACCTCACCTTATCATAGATGGCCTTAGCGAGAGCCACCCTAGTATCGGTTACAAGAACGTCCTCCAATCCAACTCGATTGTACAACGAATAATTACAAAACAACTTGTGTTGAGCAATTCAATTAGAAGCTGTAAACTGTAAAAGGTCAAAAAAAATATTCAGTAAAAGGTCAAAAAAAATATTCAAGACATTGGAGCAAAGCACTTTTGCTTTGTCTTTAGGCCACCAGCCGAGAAGAAGCTCCGTTTGCCACCCTTCAAAACCTTGAAGCTTTCACAATGGCAGTCCTAAAATGCTACAAAGAAATTCCAGAAGTTGGTGATAAAATTGCATTGAATAAAAAGATTTGACAGATTCTGAGGTTAAGGATTTTTAGATGGGTTCTTTATTGATACCAAGGCTCCATTTACTTCAAATCTTAGGATGCGTTAGAAAATTGATTTTAGGAAAGTTTAAAATCATATCACTTTAATGGTGATTTCGAAAAATCAATTATACTTAGATCTTTTTAAAAACAATTCACTAATTTTATTATTACTCCCAAGCACACCCTTGTACGAGGCTTTTTGTAACAGTCTTTCGCCATCTTGTCTAAAATGTATAGGCGCATAAATTTCGTAAATCATAAACTACCAAATATATATATATATATAGTTTGGAAAAGAAGGGTCAACTTATATTTACTAGGATAGGAGTATTATTTATCACAATTATTTTTACTTTTTAAATTTACATTATAGTATATATATATAGTTTGGAAAAGAAGGGTCAACTTATATTTACTAGGATAGGAGTATTATTTATCACAATTATTTTTACTTTTTAAATTTACATTATAGAAAATAAGAAACAAGAAATAATTTCAATTTATTTTGTAGACCATCTGACTTTAGTGAATATTTGTTGAAAATTTCATTTTTTAAATTGTTTTCTAATCCAAAATAGTAAAAACTCTTAAAATAATATTTTTATATATTCAATATTTTCATATTTGGATTTGAAACTTTTAAAATGTAGAATTATATTAAAAATGATAAAAAAAACTTTAATAAATATATAAATTCATTTATTTTTTTTATTAAAATTAAAAATGTAAAATTATATACTACAAAATATTTAATATTGTAGAATAATAGTTTTACCAAATTTATAGCATACGTTAATGCTAAATTAATATTATTTTAGATTAAACTAAATATTTAATGGATAATTACTACTACTTTACAAATATCTAAATATCTTGAATAATTTTTTTAAATTAAGATTCAACTTCCAAATCTAATATCCCAAAAAATATTGAAAATAGGAAATACAAAAATGAGAAACTAAAAACAAAAAAGTTATCAAATGCATTGGGACGGAAGATTTGAACTCATGATCTATCACGAGCTAGCTCCAATTCACAATCTACTACAAATATTGATCATACAAAATCCAATTGTTCAACCCAAACAATGAAGACCCTTGATGAAATTAAATAAAATTAAGAGCCATCCAAAACCTTTCTCCCTTTTGTATTCTATTTTCACGGATTCCAAGTTCAGTTATTGAAATGATTTAATCTTCAATACAAATTGATCCAAAACAAATTTTCTGTCCTGAAGAAGCCCAAAGCATGAAATGTTTTCAACTCCGAATCCATAAGATACAAAAATCCAGACAAGTTCAAGTCCAAAATGGTCGGACAATTCTCAATATCCAAGATTGGAGATTCTAATGAAGTATCTCAAATACAGATCCCTCAAAAACATGCCGCCGGGAATTATTGACAAACTTTATACGACAGAAATGAACTATTCTAACAAAAAAAGGTAAAGCCGATTGCTCGTAAGCAGCATCATCAGTTACAATTGGGAGGGAAAAGCAAAAATGGATCAAGAGTTTATGGTAACGTGGGGCAGATATACCTGTCCCGACCGTAAATACTAGACCATCTTCTAATTCGAGTTTGCGAACTTGATTCCTTTCTCGATAGAAGCTTTGAGCTCAGGCTTGAGCTTCTCCAAACCTTCTTTCTCAAAGTCTGAGAGAGGACCCAAATCCAAAACTGACTCTACTCCATTCTTTCCAAGCCTCACCTGTTTATAAATTAAGATCGAAGTGAACAACAATTCGTGTAATGGAAGGATTTCGACTTTGAAGAAAATACCAACAGTTTAACTGAGATGTCTCAAGTTTCATGTTTCAACTCAAGCAATATGACGATAGAAGGAAAGAGTTGTGCAAAGAGAAGATAAGCCAATCTCACCTTTGAAGCAAAGAATGGTAGTTCAGTGACACTTGATTGCACATATGAACATTCCACAACATCTGGAACTCCGTTCAGTCCCTTAAGACAAGCATCGGCAAAAAGGGCTCCAGCATAGCTGCCAGAAGAAGTAAAACCGTTAAAAACATACTCGCGTTACATTGTTCCCCGCCCGAATTAAAAAGACAAAAGAAAGATTTGAAAAGTTGAGAAATTTGGTAGTACACCAAGGGGATAGCAACATGTAGTCGCACAGCTTTTCACAGAAGTAAAAGGTAGATTTTCTAATGCTCGCCAAAAGAACTCAAACAACAGCGATGGAGTGTACCAAATGATATTAACATCGTGGCTCCATGATAACAGTTAAAAAACCCAGGTAAAAAGTTGAGGAAGTGAACTTCTAACAAATAATCCAGCAGCAAGTAAAAAGTCTTACGCCATCGACAATGTAGCAGAACCCTTTCCAGCCTTTGCTTCCACAACTTCTGTTCCTCCATCTTGAGTTCGCTTGGTGAGAGCCACAATAGTATCATCAGACAAATTAGCTTTGGGAGTCGCCTGCGATAATCAGATACACAGTTTAAAATCTACTCTAATTCAAACCACCCGAAGCAATCCAAATGCAGAAACACTGCTTATGTCAATTAAATTTGTACACAGAAAAAAGCTGAATGAGGAAGAAGGGAAGTACCTGAGAAAATAGTGGAAGAATTGTAATTCCAGCATGGCCACCAATAACAGGTACATTAACCTCTACGAGAGAATTACAATAATCAGACAATAAAGTTTGACCTTTTTCCCAGTGGGTGCACAGTAACAATGAAACCTATTATTTTCTTGTTAAAAAAAATAAGAAAATATCCTTTTTCATCATGGTAAATAGCAAATTGCGGTGAAATTTCAAGAATAAAATTTTAGCAAGGAATTGTACCGGCTACTGGAGCATTCGCCTTTCCAGCATAGAAAGTCTTGGCCCTGACAACATCAAGAGTCGTAACACCAAACAACTTCTTCTCATCATAAGTCCCAGCTTTCTTGAAAACCTCAGCAGCTATTGGGACAGTTGAGTTAACAGGGTTACTGATCATGTTAACAAGTGCCTGCAAAACCGCATTGAATTGGCTACAAAAATGAATCCAGATAATAGAATTCAAGAATTTGAATCTCAGTACAAGGGCGGTGGGCACACACATTGGGGCAGTACTTAGCAATGGCGATGCAAAGTGATTTAACAATGCCAGCATTGATGTTGAAGAGATCATCACGGGTCATTCCAGGCTTCCTTGGGACACCAGCAGGAATAATAACCACATCAGATCCCTCCAAAGCTTGGCCGAGCTGTTCCTCACCCGCGTAACCAGCAACCTACAACTCACAAAAAGAATAAAGAACAAACATACAGTGAATACTAATCTAAAAATTAGCGCAAATTGTGACATGAAACAAGTTAGAAAAAAACTGAATTATTATTATTTTTTTTTATAAGAAACAGCACTTTCATTGAGAAAAAAACTGAATTATAAAAGCATGTAGATATGCGGTCTCAATAGTTCAGAGCACAAAAGAAGAAATCAATTGAACGAAAACCAGATCGATTGCAACCCTAACAGACGCACACATAAATCAAAACAAAATAACTCGTAACCGAACAATAACAAGAACAGGGTAAAAAATGACGAGATTTACCTCGGATCTGGTGTTAACATGGCCGACATCGGCGGCAACACCAGGAGTTCCGGCAATATCGTAGAGAGCAAGCTTGGAGACAAGGGGATTGAGCTTCATGAGGAGGGAGAGTGGCTGCCCAATACCACCGGCGGCTCCGAGGACGGCGACTTTCCTCTCCGGCACGGATTCGGTCCCATAGGCGCGGGTGGAGGTCCGGGCGGCGGCGGATCGGAGGGATCTGAGAAGTGCGGCCTTCATTTCTCCACGTAGAAGAACAGCGACGAAGCGGAGAAAGCAACACAGAGAAGAGAGAGAAGTGAGGGTTTTTGCGGAAATGAAGGGTTCTTCTTCGGATCATAGCGAAGTGAATTTGCTTTTATTCTCAACGGGAAGGGCTTTATGGTAATTTACTTTTTTCTTTATTTATTTATTTTGTTCAATCAAACCTTATTTTAGATTTTGAATTCTTCTTTCTTTCTTTCTTTCTTTCTTTTAGATTAAATATTGGTTTAAACATTTAGTTTCAACTCTCATTTATTTCTTAAATTAAATATAGTTTAAAAGGCTAAAACATCAGTCTCTAATCAAAAGCTATGAGTTCGAATTCTCACGAGATCAAAATAGTATTTAAATTCATTTTAATCTCTTACCTAAAAAGTTTTTTATAAGAAAAATATAATTTGTACTCCTAAATTTTGTAATTAATTTTTGTCCTACACTTTAAATTTCATCAAATTGGACCTTTAGACTTTGATTAGAGTTGGTAATATTTACCAATTTCGATAAGTATTGGCAAATTCTACCTATGAATAGACTTCCATTTGAAAAGTCAAGAAAAAATATATATTTTTAAGCGTGTTTAACAAATTAATATGTGTAGTACGAAATTGATGAGATTTAAAAAAAAAAAAACCAATAGGGTAGCTGTATTTTTGTTAAAATTAGTGAGTTTTTAAGAGGGTTTGTTAATTATTGATTACATGCATTACTGAATTTAATTTTATGCTAGACTTTCTTTTCTTTTTTTTCCTTTTCTTTTGGAATCAGTGAGTTTTGATACAATTTTTCATGCTTTTTTTTTTTAATTAGTGGTTGAATCTTGCAAAATTTGAATCAACGATTTTTTTTTCTTTTATGAATTGAAAGTTTACCACTAAAATCGTATGACTAGGATGTTGTAGAAAACAAATTAAGATATATCTAGACTCGTTTTTTATAATAATTATAAAAACACATTTATTATTAAGAGCGATATATAGAGAAATTAAGAAAACATGGAAATTAACCATCTGAACTCAACAATATCATTGTTTCCTCAAGGCATTTCTATTCCTTTTATGGTACTCAAGGTTTCACGAACAATAAAAAATCGAATTTTGAGTAAGATTTTTTTTTATGTCAAAACTGAAAATAACCACATATTTATAGACTATTTGTGGACATTCAAATAGTCATATCTTTCAAAATAAAGTTATGTCTTTTGAAGAAAAAGACATATCCTTTCGTACAGGGTTGTGTCATTTACAAATAAATACATAATTTCATGAAAATAATGTGCTTCTTCATTTTTAATAAAAATAATTTTATGCGTAAAATCCAACACTTATAAATGTAATTTCATTGACTATGAGAACGTCTACAATTAGACCTACTTTTTTTTTAGGAGAAATTCAACCCATAAAAAATATTGCTTTCACATACCAAGTCTATGGTTCAACTCGATAAAATTAAAATCATGGTTCTAAACTCCCTTCAACACGACGTCGACATTTTTATCGACATGCCCATGTTTTCATAGATTTTACATCAACATAAGGGATAAATCGACATTTCCATCGTAATACAAAAAAATCGACAAAATATAAAAACTATCAACAAAATGTCACTAACATATACATAGTATCAATATTTATTATTTTTTAACTTATTTAATTTGAATATTTTTTACGATTTTTAAATTCCTATAACTTTTACATAAATATCCATCGGCATCGACATTTTATCGATATTTTCATTGATATTTCTACGAAATTGAGACCTCGACATTTACATCGACATTTAAAACCTTAATTAAAACGTATCAAATTAACTTAGCATAAAAAAAATAGAAAAGGTAAAAAGAGCTCATGTTCTTCATTTTTCTTGTTTTAATGTTTTATTGACAAAAAAGAAAAGAAAGTGACCAAATTGACAAATTCAACCCAAAAAGCCTGTACAAAACTAAATAAAACTAACCTTTGTTTTCAAATACAATTATATGATACAAATTTAAATATTTTTCAAATTTCCAATTTCTTTTAGAACAAAAAAAAAGTTAAAAAATACTTTTTTTCCCTAACCGAACAATGGATCTTATCAATTTATTTATTCCCATAGGGGGCCTGTTTGTTTTTCTAGATGCCCGACATCTATAGATGCCTGAAATTTTATATGTCCAGAATTTTAGATGTCTGGCATCTATAGATGCCTGGAATTTTATATGTCCAGAATTTTAGATGTCTGACATCTTTAGATAATTATGTTTATTTCGTAAGAAAATTTATAAGGATATTCGGGAATATTTGGATAGCCACGTTTGTTTTGTGGGATTTATTCTCGGGAATGTGTTAAATTTGTAGAATGTTCCAAAAATACCCTTACGAATGTTTATATAATTTATAAAAACTCATATAATATAATAGACTTATTTGAATTAATTTAATATTTTTATTTTTTATATGTTATTTTGGAGAACAAATTAATTCATATAAATTTCATTTCAACTTTAATAGTTTTTCAAGACGACAATCATATAATTGTGAAATTTATTTATCCTATTATCACATTATATTTTTTTAAGAAGAAAAATATCATAGGTATATTATTCGTAAAAAAATGTTGTTTTAAAATTATTTATGATAATAAATACTATTAATAATGTAATTCCCTCCAACTATTAAAAATAAATGGAGATATTAGATAACTTTATTGCCAATTATTTTACATGAATGTACAAGTATACATAATAGCATAAAGTTGTTTATTTTTTTTTTAGAAATCCGTGTGTCCGGACCAGCTTGCGCGCACCTCGACTAAACGGGTCAACCGCCTGACCCTACTACATTTGGAGCATAAAATTGTTTATTAGACGACGAATACATTAATTTATTTTAATTATCAATTTAAAAATAAAAAATAAAGATTTTATTAGAAAAAATAAAAAAAAAATTAATTAAAGAAAAATGACAAAAATGAATGACAAAAATTTAAAAAACGGATTCTCAATACGAGAATCTTGAAAATTCGTGGATACCCAGACATTTCAAAATTCTCAGGTATCCTACATTTCCACTAAACAAACATAGGAATCTAGATGTTCGTTTAACAGGAATTTCAGATTCCCACAAAATAGACGGTCCCTGAAGTATTTGAGGCATCGAAATTATCATTTGAAAAAACAATGTCTTCGTGTTACTCAAATAATTTATTAATTACTAATAAAATTTATATGGTGGAATAACCAAAGTTTGGCTCCAACTAAAAATTCATTAGTTTAAATCCTTTTTTTTTTCCTTTTTGAGTTTATTTTTCATTTAAAGTTCATCCTATTACACTTTTACCTTGATCTTTGAATTTAGTTTTCGTTTGGTCCTATATGTTAAAATGTCATATTTTTACCCATATTTCTCAAAATATTACCTCCAAGTTTTCACTAATTCTTACTTTTAAGTCTTTGATATACTGAACCATTAGCAATCCTAATGAAACACTAACTTTTCTTTTTTTTTTCTTACCAATGAAACACTAACTTAGATGTCGACAAATCCATTTAATATTATTTTATATTACTTGGTAAAAGTATTTACTTCTATATTATTTCAATAAGACAAAAAATAAAAAACAATAAAAAAATCTATCTAGTTGACGCCACAAAATGAAAATTTATTAATTTCTTTTATTTGAGTTAAATTGTCCTATCAACATCCTAATAAATATTTCTTATCTGTTCTGTTATCTCAAGAACCAAAAGTGAGCCTAACTAAAATGTGAATATTTTGAAACTAGAGACCAAATAAAAACTAAATTCAAAATTCAAGAGTGAAATTGTGACATTTTGGAACCTAGGAATCAAATGTAAACTAAACTCAAAATTCGGGACAAAAAAATATTTTACCATAATTTCTAATACGTTATGCTAATACGCTATTCTAATACATAATTTCTAATACGTTATTTATTTATTATTATTATTTTTAGTACAACTTCTAATATGTTACTTTAATCTTAAAGTTTCTTAAATTTCTATTTCGATATTTGCTGTTAAATTTTTGCAGTGCGAAGTTACTTGCACCGGAATGAATTATCCCTATGAAATACAACCAGAGGTAAGTGATCATTAGCTTTAAACAGTATATATATACACACACACACACACTTTATTTTGCATTTTTTTCCTTTAACACAAATAAAAATAATTGTAGTTATTATTTATATTAATACTTTGAAAATCAAACACCATAACTTGGACTTGGAACATAAATTTGTAGTTATGGTAAGAAAAAGCTTTTTCTTCTCTCAATTATGAAAAAATAAAACGACAATTAAAAAAATCAATAATAATCTCAGTATAGACTAGTACGATAAGATCATTTTTTCTTAGTACAGTAAATATATGAGTGTAGGAATTCGAACTTCCGAACTCGAAAAAAAATTATGTCTTTACCAAAGAGGGCATCCTCTGCTTTCTCAAATAAAGATTTTGGGCCATTTTTTCTTTTTCTTCCTCTTGTCAGCAAAGGAGATGGCCTTTGGCCATGGCTAATGCCTTTCCATGGGTCAACTTGTCATCCTTTTATTGGAATGTGTGAATCTTTAAATCGGGTAGATTACGAAATTACCCTAGCAGTTTATAGAATAAACTTTAACATCCTACCCAAAAAAAGTGCAAATACAAAGTTCATTCCTTAAATTTTCAGGTTTGTGAAATTTAAAGGTATCCGGTTCCCTACTTTCAATTTTATATTTAATAAATCTTTTATTTATTAGACACAAAATTGAAATGTCAAAAATAGACCCAAAATTCAATTGTGGCTAAGAAGTTTTTAAATTCTAAATATTTCAAATAGACTAACCATTTATTAGGTACAAAATTGAAAATCTAGAAACCTACTAGATACTTTATACTCAAAATTAAAAACTTTTGATGCTGTCCTATTATACTAAAGTATAAGAACTAAATTTGTAATTTAACCCATAAAAGATTCTAATCTAATTCTTTTACAGATAGATTCTAACTTTTGATATAGCTTCCTTTCAATATATAACATTCATTTCTTTTAGAATACTACATCACAGGAAAGGGAGTGAGAATTCAATTCTACAATTTAGAGTAACCAAGTCCTGGATTTGAAGCGTCAGTTTGAAATGAACGATCCTTTTAAACAAGAAACAAATTTTCCTTCCTTTATACACAAAAAAAAAAAAAAAAACTTTTCGTTGATAAATGAAATGTAAATTTGTTCAGTCCCTGAAGGAGTGATAGAAAAAGAAAAATGCAAAACAAGAAAATGACGAGCTCAACGAGAAACAATGCAATCGGAGAAGAATGAACATTAAAAAAGAAAAACTACCAACAAAAGACCATTATTATGGAATTTTGAATCAATAGTTAGGATCTGAAGCAATACACTAATACAAGAGCTAAATACCTTAAAATAAACAAGATCACCTCCAAAAATAAGCCACACTGACCACTTTTTGAGGGCTGGTTGATCATTTTATGAACTCATCGTTCTGGGGTTCTATAACTGCAAACTACATAACCAATCACATGCTTTAAGATATTGAAACAACATTATTCTGGCATTTGGCTGTAGAATAGAATACACACCTTGATTTAAAATGAACTCACACTGCTTAACTAATGCACAAGTCCTGAGATCTGCAAAGAAACCAATGAATCAAAAAGCATTTCACCAAAACAAGCTGAAAAAGAAGACATTGGATAATCCCTACCAAAAATTATGGAAAGTACACATATTACGGGGTCAAAATCGCACTTGTTCAAGCAACGGGACAATCTTGGTTCATCATTTGTGTTCTCCCTATCCAATCCAAAACATCAACACAATCTTCACGTCTAACAAAATACCTGTGAATTGGGTTGGGGAGGGGGGTGTTGAAGAAGCTATTATTGGCTCATTCCATGATTGATATAGTGCCCGAAATAGTTGACTATAAGATATACCTATTTTTCGTGCGATAAGCCTTGAGCTCAGAAACTTCTCGGCGACTGGAAACATCCTTTTTCATTTTTAGTGAATCTGGAACAGAGATATTTCCACTCTCCTCGTGGTAAGCATCGTAAATAAAGTTGAGTGCACTTTCCTACATGTATTTTTCTCACATTGAGCTTGTCATCAACCAAGTTCAACATGAACCAATAGAAAGTGTATAATTGAAAAATATTAAAACATAGAGGAATAAAATATTGTTTTAGCTATTACATTTAAAAGCTATTAAAACATTAAAGACTACAACATAGATTTAGTATCTGATGCAAAATACATTGTACAATAAGCAAGACGATGAAACTAGAATCAAAACCTTCCTCTAAGGAAATTGATTACATAATTTTATCAATGAAAAGACAAGAATGCCAGCGATCAACTTTTAGAGAATGAAGTTTGTAAAATACAGAGGACGAGGAAATGGCAGCACTATTTTTCCTAGTGACCAAATTATGTAATTTGAATAGAAATAAGAAAAGAGAACAGAAACAAGGTGATGTACGAACAATCAAAATGTCATACCAGGGGTTTAGAAGCATCAAGCCAGTGATATATATGCTCATTCCGAAACCATGTCAATTGCCTTTTTGCAAAATTTCTGCACAGTGATTTTACAGTTTCCGATTTGAAATCCAACAAAATGCAAAAATGTAAGGAGTATATTAGAAAGATAAGGGCAGTATTTAGCACCATAAGTATGGTTTTCTACTCGACATAGAATTTCCCCTCAAGGAATCAGCAAGAACTATTGGGCAAGGCAATGAAATATAAAACTAACGCTGGTAATCATAATTAATATTAAACAACCAGTAACTGCATTTAAAATCCTCCATAGAAATCACATACCCTGGAGTACGCTGGTTAACAAAGGATTCCAGAGTTGTCCTCCTGTTGGACTTAACCTCTCTTCTACCATTTATGTCATTCATTCAATCAAATTTAGTTTTAGAATAAACTCTCGGGTATATTTTAGGCTGGAGCTTGTTGTTCGAAGGTCTTACTCAGAGTCGGAGATCTATTGTTTGCCAAAAATCCTAATGTGTATGTATTATATCCCCTGATTGGTGTTGTATTTTCATGAAAAAGGAGATCATTTATCCCAAGTCTCATGTCTTTTCAAAACAAATGAGTATTCCAATCCACCTCCTTATATGGCTTCATAATTTGAAAATAATCATAAAATTCCTGTTTTTTCTGAAACAAATCATACCATTCACTGGAAATAGTTTTAAATTCCTATTGAGTCAGTTGATTAATTGTCCACTGAACAAATATCCTCAGAAACTATAATGATTGAGCTGCATAGTTTTCCCAAAACTAAAACCATTTTTGCTTACACGTCAAGTGAGATTTACCTGGATGCTTTCTGAAATTCAGAGAGAAAGGCATAGAACTCTCCTGGAGAACTCCTTCCACCTTGCTGCCTACACCTTAATAGGTATTCCATTGCCTGAAATTCATGATTCACAATAGGTTAGTGGCTAGACTATCAGGCTGTGTATCTTGCCTATACTGAAGTGTAAATAAATCGTAAAAATGGTAACAGACGAACACTGTAATTGAAGGCTATAAACCATTTTGAATAAATTATCCGTGTCTGATTTAGGATCGGATAATTATCAAGTAGCCATGGAATCCCTATAAAAGAAAGGAAAAAAAAAAAAGATAGTTATACGAATTATAATGAAGTATGATAAAGACTATCCGGGCTTCTGCAAATCTACACGAATTGGCCAAAGGAGTCCCGACCATACTAGTTAGAATTAACTTTTTGTCTAATAGAGAATTTCTCTTGGCAACCTTCAAAGGCATTCACCAAGCAGAGGAGGGTTCTTTTGTTTAATATTGCCTATGTTGCATAACCTATGGGAAACTACTTCCTGACTAACTACTTCATGGCAGCCACCTAGCCGACAGCCTTACCACAAGAAATTCCTTTGTTGATTTCTGCAGCCACAGAATTAGAAAGTGCTACATATGCGAAAATGAGTTAGCTGCGGACAGCCACAGCCCTTTCAAGGGATTTGTACTTGATCATTCCTGAACTTTTTAATGGGAAGGCAAGAGTGGTGGGAAGTGCTCAAATCAGTCAAGAGATCATTAAGACTGTAATGCATAAAGGGTAAATAAAGCATTTACATCAAGAGCTAAAACCATAGCTCTATCAAAATATGTTAAAAGAAAGAGATGGGAGTGTTGTTGAATGCCATTGACGTAGTTAGGAATATTATTAGGTTAGTCATTAGCCAAAGAATTTGTTATAAATAGATGGAGTGGGCCGAGATGAAGGTAGATAAGTGGTTTAGTCCTGAGCGTTCTCAAGTTGAATTCTAAGCCTTTGGATCTAGGGGGTTTAGATATTGGCAATTTTAGGCTGCGTAATGAAGCCTGCTGACAAAATGGTTATGGCACTTCCTGCAAGAGTCAAATTCATTGTGGCATGGAATCATAGTGAGCAAATACAGTCCTCGTCCCTTTGAATGGGCGTCCAATGGGAGATCTAAAGGCACTTTCAGGAATCCGTGAAAAGCCATCTTTTCTGGCTTTCCCTTTTTTTCTCAATTCGTTCATTGTTTTAGGAGGATAGGTGGCTAGGGAATTATACCTACTTTTAGGAGGATAGGTGGCTAGGGGATCGCCTTTCTATTCCTTGTTTTCCTGCTTGTACCATCTTTCTTCCACGAGGGGTCAGTTGGTGGCTTCAGTATTCAACAGACATCCAATACCAAAAGTCGGCTTAATAGAGCATCTGTGTGCTTGCCTCCAGTATGCAGAAAGGGTTTTTATATCTCAATAAGTCTCATTGAAATCTTATACATAAAGTAGACTATTACAAGTAAAATCCTACATTGTTAAAGTCTAAGAATATATTGGGTTTAATGCTAATCAGATCATTATATTTAATAGCTTAAATTTTCATGACAGATGCTTAACATACAATCAAGTCCAAGCCCATGGTCTTTCAACAATAAATAACACCAGATTCAAGTACCCTTTTACGGTTTAATTTTATATCCTCTGGAAATAGGAAGGCCAGAGTAAACAGCTGATAACAAAAAGCCTCTGCGCACTATATTCAAATATATAGAAAGAAATAATATGTTAGGATATACTTGTCTATAACCAATTGCTCGAGTGGCAGAATTTGAATTTGGAAGAAGGCCGCTATTAAGAAGCCATGTTGCCTCAGATAAAATTCCATCATTTCCTGCAGATGATGAAAAAATTGGCATTAAGTACACATTCTAACAAATTTACTAATTAGTAAACCTTAAAAGGTTGTGTTATCCAGCAGCCAACAAGAATATCATGCAAGATAACACAAGTTTCTCCGATTAAAATAACTGTTAGCCACAACTTTAAACTGAAGGGTGTAAATTCCCTTATTCCACACTATATCCTTTCTTCCCTTTTCTCCAGTTGAAACTGTTTTTATGTAATCCCTTGAGTAGGGCCACTTTTTGTAATTTCATACCATCAAAAAATTTGTTTCTAAAAATGTAAAAAATAACTTTAATAGTAGACCCACCAGAAATCATATCTTCACAGCGGAAGTCAATTGACCTATACAAACTGAGCCTTGGGCTAGAGAGGAAGAAACAAATGAACTCATAGTCCAACTCTTTCAAGTTAATTTCCTCACTAGAATCAACAGAAGTGTCAACTGAATAGTCAGTGACGTGAGAGCTGCTTGCTGCACTAGAACCACATTCTTGTCTGAAAGTGTCATATGGAACTTGAAATGCAGATGGAGGCGAACCACTGGCCTGCAATGATGTACCATGTTAATACATCACTAACTTTTTAATAGGCAATAAAATTTCATTCAAGAGAAGTATTGATAGGATAGAAGTTAGAACAACAGTTCTAGAAACAAGAAAGTAAAAGTATAGTGAAATATGCACGTTACTACTTGAGACCCAGTCCATTTCATCTAGACATTTTCCTGTAGAGTTCTTCATCTGTATTGACTTATTCTTTGTAAGTAGGAATCCAAGGAAGTGAATCATGACTCATTGGAAATCAATCATCTCTTTTGCCTTTGTCCTCTTGCTTTATAGTTTAAACCTCTGGTGAAGGCTGTGAAAAACTTTTCAGTTTGCTACTATGTCATCCTATCCTATGGTTAACGTAATATGGAGGAGATTGTCTTACACCCACCTCTAGGGGAAGAGGAAGCTTATTGCTGGTTTCTTTACTAGATTAAGGGATATTTGGTTGAAAAGAAATAGGAGAGACCTTTTGGGTGCTGAGAGGTCTAGGGATGAAGTTTGGAATTTGGCCCACTTTCATGCATCAAGATGGGTCCAATCTTGTTTTTAACTACCAAAAACTAGGGCTCCCTCTTGAACTTGTAATTTGTCCTTTCAGTTTTAGTCGTCCCTTTCTTTGTTATTTTCTTGGATGCTCTTGTTTTCTATTATTACATTCTTCTAAATATACTATCCTATCAAAAAAGAAAAAAAAAAGTCATAAATATGGATTATCTTTGAACTACTTGGTCACAGATAGACTCGCAGAAGCCCAAAATGATACTAGGAATGATGATCTGAGTCACCTATAAACTAAAGGTTTTGTTTCATTTTCAATAATGATCTAAGTCACACTTCAAGCACTTCATCATTCATCAATTATCTTTTTGAGGATCCTTTCGTTTCTATCCCTTCAAATACTCCACAGGCTTTCCACAACAATACAAATGAAAGAATTACTCCCCCATGCATGCATGTTCTTCCCTTCTCTCTCTCTCTTTTTTTTTTATCCGAAACCAAATTTCATTAATAGAACGAAATACACAAAATCGGGAACGTTATATTATCCAACTAACTGTAATAGAAATCGCAGGCGAGCATTGGAAGCTTCTGTAAGCGGTTTCAAATAAGTCTTTTTTTTTCTTTTTTTTTTTGCTTTTAATAATTGAATTAAATAAAAAAGGTATATTTTTCTTTAGAGCCAAACAAAAAAACATACACAAAATTGCCAAAGCCCAAAGAATGCAACTCTGAATGGTATTATAAATTACAACACAAGTATCCAAACCATATCTTGTCATTAGCACAACACGAATTAAACAAGAAAGTAAATCTATTAAACCAAGTCTATTTCATCAAGCAGACATGAAATTGCTAGAACGTATGGACCTTTATGATTCATGCACAGAACCAAGACGAAGAAGAACATGCAAGCACAAGTCATGTAAATAAGAATAAGCATGTAGGAAGAGGGAGTCAAATACCCAAGCAAGAATAAGAAGTAACCTTGATTATCTCATAGCTACGCTGCAATCGGTACCAATCGTTAGTAGCTAAATGCTGGGCCCTAGGGTCACCAGCATTGACAACCAATTGCACAGCTGCATCCCAGTCTTCATCTCTCTGCAAGTCTGCTAACTCAGAGTATACTTCGGCAGCAATGTCTGGAGAGGCCTTTGGAACATTGGGTTTGCCATAGATGAACCTTCATTCAATACTCACACCCATAATAAAAGTATTTATTTAATGTTTTTCATAGGATCTACTTAGTAGCTAAAAGTTGAGCAACCTATTCTGCTGAATAGCCCAACCATCATTAAGCTCATATGACATGTGGGAGGAGATAGTATTATACTTTCTCATCATTGTCAATAATATTTTTTTCTGTTCATGTAGTCAAAGCCATTCTTATCATATGCTCTATCATCTTTTCACAGACTGGGGGGTCCATATACTAATAACATTAAGTCAGCATTACAGCCAAGAAAAAGACACAAGCACTATTAACATAACATCAGCAGTCATACCTTCATTCATTAGATAATGATAATGACATGACCCTTTTACGCTGATTTTATTTTAAATAATAATAACCAACAGAAAGAAAAAGTTCTTAGACAAATTGTCCGAAGGGAAGGCCGTTATGGTACACACCATCTTAAATACAATCCTGTCCCACCAGAAACTATTGGAACACGGCCATTATCAAGGATACATCTTGTCGCTTGCCTTGCATCCTCAAAAAATTGGCCAACAGAATATTCTGGACAATTTTAACAATGAGTTCAAATATTCTTGCACACAAGAAAAATCTACTATAGCATTGAATGTCTAAATGAGATGTCATTACAAAGAGAACATTGCAAAATCAGTTTTAGTTGAATGCACAGATCCAATGGAAAGCGTACCTTCAGATGGACGTAGTATGTCAAGCAGATGATGTGGAACCTCCTAAAATAGAGAAAGAATGAGTTATTCTTCTGGATCAAATGAACATGTTACAATCAACTCAACTACAGAACGACAATAATTAAAACAGTCACTTAATAATATTAATACATACAATCTAACTCAGCCATAAAATGCAATTTTATCTTTAAAACCAAAAATGTAAAGCATACTTCAGGAGATTAAAGATATGTGAAATAAATCAATTCCATAATCAAGAGATTCATTTATGTATATCAGAATCACGTGGATAAAGGGACATTTGTTTGTATCTGCATGCATGGATGAACGAATCGATTCCATACAACGAACTCCAGCATCAAGACTGTATGGTAAATTATTCTCAACACTTTCATGTTGGTCCAATTACTGAGTGTAAGGGAGAGATGGTTAAATGTAATACCAACTTGAAATTAAAACTTGAAGGACCCAAATCCAGTTACAGTTTTACGTTTACATTTTATTATTCAAAAACATTCTTTTTTTAGTACAATAAACGTAGGGGTGGGAATTTGAATCTCCAACCTCAAGGGAAGGAGTAGATGTCTTTACCATCATGTTGGCTTGATTGTTCAAAATTGGTTTAATGTAATTTCTATTTTTATGTCACATCCTTTCTTTTCTCTTATTGTCAGCTTCTCAATCTAGGATCCCAAAACATCTTTGTTCCTCAAGCTTCAATCACAAATTAACAGCGAAAATTTAGAACAGGTAGGATATCTCCATCAGTCACCTTTCTATCCCTTGCAGAAGGCTTCGCGGATCCAATATCAAGACCCTTATATACCTGCAATTGGCCAGATTGAATGATATTAGCATTTAAGAAGCTGGTTCATTACAATTATAGAGAGAACCATTCGAATTCCAACTGAAATTTCGAAACCATGTCAGCAGTAACCACCCCAGGTGCGGATACACAATACACTAGCATAGGAAAATTGCCTAAAACTAAAAGAACAAAACTTGATTTCTCGAAGTTTGGAACTCCCATGCATTGATGTTTCGTTTTATTTATTTACATCCAAGTTCCTCATATCATCTTTCCTGTACCAAGTCATATTTCCAGCCTCCAATCCCATCAATTTGTTCCGGAAACCAAAGCTTGACCTGATTAAATTTGTTTGAGCTAAAGCTATTAATTCCACTTCAAAAATGAAAAACCCACAACCAACCATACTCCGAAATCGACAGCTCCTGTTTGGTTTTCATTTTCCTCCCATTTTCTCAGCAACAAATAAAGACAGACATTGTCAATTGACCTGGACAGAGTCGGCGCTGATGATTTCACCATTGAGACGCTTAGCGAGCTCCATAGCAAGCCTGCTCTTCCCAGCACCAGTCGGGCCAGATATCACAATCACCTTCTCCTTCCTTTCCTTTCCCGCGGTGGCTGCGGCAGAGCATAAGGTCGCCAAAAGTCGCCGGCGGCGAGTTCTCCGGTACGAAACTGCTCGGAGGAGCGGCCTCTCCGTCGTGTAGGGAAATCGCAAACAACAAGTATGCAGGTTACGGACTCCATTGTTCAACATTCTCGAAATTCGAAGAGCAGCTTTCACTTCCAGTGGGTCTCTGCGGCGAAGATATATATTTATTATATGCTCATCATCCAAAAATCTCTTTTCATACCAAACAAATTTAATTTCATCTTTCAGATATTTTCTATTGGATAATTTAAGAGCTTATTTTCTTTTTATTATTATTTTTGGGATCAGGGTAAAATACATTATGTTTAAATAGTAATTTGTCGCTGCATTTCCTTAGTTTTTTATTTCAAAACGTCTATTTTATTCCCATATTTTCAATTTTTATTTATTCTAGTGCATGTACTTTTAAAACGGTTATACAATAAATATTTTTAAAATAAACTTATAACTTCATTTTAATAAATTTAGTGAATGAAATATCGTATTAAAATTTTGATCGAAATTAATGAGATAAAAATAAAAATAAAGTATCTCAAAACAAATATGAAAATAAAGAGATAAAATGGTCACTTTTTTACATTTTGATAAGTACAAATATTCAAATAAATAAACGTTAATATAGAAGTCAAAATAATAAGAGATAAAAAGTGACTAAAATCCAAAGTTTAAGCATCAAGAATACATTAATTAATATAATTATATTTTGTTGTTTAAATCTTAAAATAAACTATTTTAGTTTATGATTTTATATAAAACAATATTGTAATCTTTTTCGTTAATTCTTTATCATATTAACTCCATAATACCTACTTAGTATAAGAATGATATTAACATATCTATATTGTTTTCATTGAATATATATTTTAGTCTAGAATGCTTTTGTATTTTTTTTCATGTAGTTCTAATAATTTGAAAATTTTCATTTTGACCTATGTTTTACTAGCCACTATTTTTTTTAATTAGTAGGAGAGAGAAATATAATAAATAAATATATGTATGTGTATATATATATTTAAAATGGATGCTGGTCAATACCAAAGTATTGTTATTTTAATTATATCGTTATTAAAATTGATGGATAATAAATTTATGTAACAAATTTTTTTTTAGAGTATTCAAATCACCTAACAGAGAAATTTCCAAATTTCTAAGTTAAACAGAGATTGTGACTTTCCTTGGAATGAATATGATAATTAATTTGGAAAAGGAAAGAAGCTTAGAAGTACCGAACTTAAAAAGTCACCAAACTGATCTCCGGTTTGAGGAACTTGACATTTCAGCTGCCAAGGAACCCAACATCAGAACCTGAAAATATAGAGGGAAAAAGGAAAAAAACTGACCTTTCAATCTATGAATGGCATTTTCATAGGAACAATACGCATGAACTTAGAAAAAATATCTCTTCTTTTCCGTTTCGTTCTATTTTTTGGGTAAATCTTTTAAAACAAGCGGTGAGAACCTTCCTACCTTTACGATAAAAGAAAAAAATATATTTCTCTATATTTTTTATTTCTACTCATCAAAATTTAATAGTGGTTAATAAAAGAGGAACGTTATCGATAAACGTCTCATAGTTTAGGAGATGGAAGAGTCAATTTGAGCCTGAGAACAAAGCATAGCTTTGCAATGCACATGAAACTGCCACCAACATTTCCACCAACTGGTGGTTGCACAAAAGAGAAAAAAGAAGATACTTAAAACTCAAGACATAATCAGCCATTCAAGGACCTTCCCCAGATAAACACTGTCAAACAATAGTAAAACAAAAACATATCAGATCATCATCAGTCACACAAACCTGAAAATGTTGAAGTTGAAGCAACTCTCTATAGATCGGCCGACGATTCATTCTGTCTTCCCGGTGGCTCTGGCTGCGCTTCTCGTCGTAGGACTCGCACGATTAGTCTTGGACGATCTCAAGAGTCATGGAAGCTTTGTTTTCAAGATGTATGGCCGACCGAGAAGCGAAAAGCATCGACTACCGGTCGTCGTCGCTTCGGAAGATCTCGTAGATGAAGATTGCAACTTGTTTGAAGGGAGATGGGTGTGGGATAATGGATCATATCCTCTTTATGAAGAAGAGACATGTCCATTTTTGGTCAAGCAAGTTACTTGCCAGAAGAATGGAAGGCCTGATTCTTTTTACAAGAAATGGAGATGGCAGCCTAATTCTTGCAATTTGCCAAGGTATGCAAATTTGTTTCCTTATTCGACTTCTAGGCATAATAAACTAAACATCAACATTGTCGACTTGAACATAGCTTAATTAACAGGTCGAAGCAGGCCTTATTCGTTTAGTAAAAATGCATTCACCATCGAAAACCCGAACATAAAAGACAATTCAACAAAGACATATAATAAAGTTTTTATGTCATTTGGGTTCTCATAATTAACATCAAATAATGAGATTAAAAACCATATTTATGATTTCAGGTTTGATCCATTGAAGCTGTTGGATATTCTGAGGGACAAAAGAATAATGTTTGTTGGGGATTCAATACAGAGAGGACAGTTTGAGTCAATGGTCTGTTTAGTTCAATCCGCCATTCCCAAAGGAAAGAAATCCCTTCGAAGAGTTCCTCCCAGGAAGATCTTTAAAGTTGAGGTATTCTAGGATCTGTTTGGTAACCTTCTTTATTTTTTTTCCTCGTTTCTCGTTTTCTCTTCTTGTGAATTTTGAAAGCTAACTTCTTAGTATTTCTTAGGATTACAATGTATCAATTGAGTACTACTGGGCACCATTTATGGTCGAGTCCATCTCTGATCATGCTACAAACCATACTGTATTAAAAAGAATGGTGAAGCTTGACTCCATAGCCAACCATGGCAACCACTGGAAAGGGGTTGATTTTTTGGTGTTTGAGAGCTATGTCTGGTGGAGATACAAGCCTCTGATCAATGCCACGTAAGTCGGTTTTTTTTTCTCTCTCCTTTTTAACATCCCCCGTCTCAGTTAGGGGTACCAAAAATATTATAATTTTGTTTCAACCTTAAAGTATATCCGTAGAGCATGAGATTATATACAGGGCTGTACATTTTCAAATATTCATAACAGGGGTATTCTATTGTATGTTACAATTTTGCAAATAGTAACCATATTATACCAAAACGAATATTTTGAAAATAATTGAACTAATCTAGTTTGGATCATTATAAACAAGATATGTTATTGATGGTGTGGTTATTATTCCTTCTTAAGGTATGGATCTGCAGAAGATGTAAGAGAGTATAATGTTAGCACTGCATACAGATTGGCCATGGAAACTTGGGCAAATTGGATAGAATCCAATATCAACCCTCATTCTCAAAGGGTCTTCTTCATGACTTTGTCTCCAACACATTTGTGGTGAGTTTTATTCTAATTAATTGCATTAGTCTTGTTTCTTCTCATTTCTATTACCCAAATGATGACATACGAAGAATAAGTCATAGCGTTGTTGGGTTTTTAGGTCTCGTTTGATAAAAATTTTGTTTTCTGAAATTAAGTTGGGGACACTACTTTTCCCGGTGAGTTCTTTTTGTTTTGTTTTCTAGATTTAAGAATGGTAGTTTTTAAAATGTTTTTTTTTCTTTTTGAAATTTGGCTAATAATAGTTTTAAGAAAGGTAAAAGAATACAAAAAGAAGATGAAGACGTGAGGAAGCCAGTATAGTTTTCTAAAAACGAAATCATTATCAAACGAGTCTTTATGTAGAGACTATGGCATTGAATCTTATTGGGTAGGATGCGACAATAATTCAAAGTAAATACTCAGCCAGAGATATTTCAAGAATTGAAAATATAAAAATGACAAATAGATTTTTATTGCATGTTTCGTAACATTCTCGTTTCTTGTTTCTTTGTTTCAACTTTTATTAAACATTTAACAACTATTTAGGTTTCTTGTTTCTCATTTTCTTATAAACATTCTCAAAATTGTATATAAAAATTTTGAAAACAACCAAAATAAATTTCTTATTTCTTGTTCTTGTTTCTTTATTCCAAAATAGAAATAAAAGTATTGTTTAATTATTCTTGAATCTATGGGCGTTGAGCCATAAAATTCTATTTCCTTCATTTAAAAAGAAGGAAACAGAAACAAGAAACGAGAACGTTACCTCACGAGTCTTTTAACATCTCCAAATTTAAAGCAATTCCCCCAAAATCTCATCCATTCAAGCACAATAAGAAAAGAAAGCTAACTTATCTGTTGTAGGAGCTGGGAGTGGAAGCCCGGAAGTGATGAGAACTGCTTCAATGAGTCCCACCCAATTGACCATCCACACTGGGGCACTGGTTCAAGCACTGAGATTATGAACATGGTACATGATGTTGTACAACACCTCAAGAATATAAATGTAACTTTACTAAACATTACGCAGCTATCGGAGTTTCGAAAGGATGCTCATACGTCAATTTACGGGGAGCGTCGAGGCAAGCTTTTGACCAAGGAACAGAGATCTGATCCCAAAAACTTTGCAGATTGCATCCACTGGTGTCTACCGGGAGTTCCTGATACATGGAATGAAATTTTGTACACTTACTTGTTAAGAACCCATCGAAACCTCTCCTAGATTTCGATCCTGACATTAAATGGCGAGGAAATATTCAATAAAGTTTCCATCCACAGTTCCTTGAGGCAAAAGAGAGGAATAGAAGAGGTAATTTTGATGAAAAGTGTAAGTATAGATTACAACAATAGCTAAAGGACAGTTAATAGTATACTGATTTTGCATAATGCCTACAATTGATTGGTACTCAGAATAAAATCAAGAGAATGTTAAATTATCAATCAACTAAAAAGTCTAAGCTATACTTAACACTCTGCCTCTGCCTCACATGTTGTGAGCTTGAAAATTTTGCACAAAACTCAATAAATAGTAGTGATTACTATTAAATGATGAGGAAAATGACGTTACATAGTTCGAATACAAAACTTCCTACTTAGCTGATGCTAAATCACCCATCAACCCAAAACTTAAGTTATATTAAGTTATATCTTAACAAATAGTACTAAACCAATCCCAACAATTTTGTTGTAAAATATCAATTCATAAAAACTAGTTTTCTTGTTTTATTTTAGAGAAGCTCCCATTCAGAGTCACCTAATTGAATGGTTTGAAATTTCCTCAATAGCATTGTAGTGAAGCAGGCAAACTTCTTCCTTGGAAGCACTTTCTTGCACTGATTCTATTTAAAATAGCCTCTGTTTGGAACATAAAGCATCCCAGATCAGAGATAAAAAACGCAGCAAATTCATATACGAACCTTAGTTACATTTTCTTATATGAAAGAGATCTTCAACCTTTCTACTTCGATCCGATCACATTGACGGGAAATTTTGGAACCTCGCTTTTGAAAAAGATGTAAAGACATAATAGAATTGGATATCGTCTCGTTCTTTTAACAACACAGAGACAAATCAAACAAGGGAAATCTATATTAATCGTGAAGAAAATATAGAAACACTTCTTTTTGGCTAATAACTAACGTGCCTACGAAAAGATAGGACACGTAACAAAAACTTATGATAGACATCAAGACAAGTTGAGGATACCACGTTGAAAAGATAAGGAAGAGACAATTCCACTCGTTATAAATTTATTTTGAAATAGAAATCTGTACATCACACAGCGGGACGAATTCCACTCGTTATAAATTTATTTTGAGATAGAACCCACAAATATCGTGTCACGAATTGGATGTGTGGTGAGCATATCTAAAAGTCAAGAATCTGGAGGCGCTAGGTATGCTAGAAGGGTTAAGAAATTTGGAAAAAAAATCGGAGAAACATCACACTTACATTGAAACGGACTCCATGGAAGTTGCCGGCCTGATGAATCGCGAAAGTTTGTACCTAACGGAGATTTAATCCACACCTTCGTGAACAATCATGGAGAAATTTCGACGGGGAAGAAGAAGATTGGGAGAGATGAGAACAAATCAGCCCATGGATTAGCAAGAAGAGCCAAGAGGTGCCATGATATTTAGACATTTCCATACATATTTTTATGTATCTAACGTAAATAAAAATTTTAATTATATTACAAAAAATATCTACGAATACCTTTAATATATACATAATACTAATATAAATATTAAGCATTTTTAATTTATTTAAAAATAGAAAAACATTTATCCATTAATTTAAGTATTTTTTACCATCATTAATTTCTCTAGTTTTATATAAATGTCTATTTACTATCGACATTTTATTGATATTTATATGAAATTTAAATCTCGACAACTCCGACGATATCAACAGTTTGAAACCTTAGTTGTGACGATGAAGAAACAGATGGTTTGAAATGGTACATTTCTAAATTACCTTTGTGTTTCTAATTACCTTTGTGTGAACCTTTGTATGGTCACTAGAAGGCACGCGACCGCAACTTTTCATTTAGTCAATGAAGTTACATTTTCTTGTTAAAATAAAAAAAAGTTATCAAACACATTGAATTAACATTATTTGAAAAAAACGAATGACTCATATACAAATAGGAGAAAAATAAGAAACTTAGTAAATGAAAAATATCATCAGAAAAACATATATCAAGTTGTAGTTTTTTTTTCCGCCTCAATTCTTCTTCTAATAATTAAGAATCCATAATTAACTTCTCCAGTACTCAAAAAAAAAAAATTAATAATGAAAATAACTTCTTCAAGATGTCTTACATTCTTTAAAACCGTCCTACGACTTTGAATATCAAATTAAGAAACGTATCTTTTTTAATGTGAAAATCAATGAAACATATGAAAGCATAATTGAAAAAGCTTATATTATGAGTTTGACCCGCCCTCAAACATTTACGGTTGTGCCTATCAACAATCTAATCTGAATCAACTTTGATATTTAAACTAATCTCACCATATTAACGTGTTTAACTTTTCATCTTAAAAGAAAAACGAAAGCTAATTAGCAACACAACAAAGATATTTACCTACTTAACAAACTGGTTATAGACTTCTACTACATTCTCAATCAAGCCACATGTGCCTTAAAACTCTATACCAAAATATAAAAACCAAACCACCTCAATTTCTTGTGAAGTATAACATTTCAAAGTACAAGATGAAGTGACGACGACTCAACGTTTTGAATCCTTGCATATCTTTGATGAGAGAATGGATTTGTCAAATTTCTGCGGCAGTGTTGTTATGTGAACTCTTCTGGACTGATTTTAGATCCTCCAAAGCGGGTGTCATTGGGGTGATTGAGGTCCATGGTCATCTCATTTCACAGTCCACCAAAATAATGCAACAAAAAGGAAGGCCAAATATTATGTGTGAGAGAGAATCTAATATAAACATTCAACCAGTGAATTTGGGATAAAGATTTAGAACAACAAAATTGCTAATCTCACGAGGTTTAAATATTAGAATAGCACTAATTTCTAATATCTATCTCACACAAATTCAGCACTTATACAAAATTCTAAACCTCTGAACAAGATACGAGGTTTGTATAAACTCACGCTCTTTAAAGTCATTATTGACGCAACCCAACGCAATCCAGAACAAACTACACAAAAATTAGACTTTCCAAACCTATGAACCAAACACGTCTTTTTAACACCTGAAAATGATTCTCCTTCCACCATTTTATATTCCTAATTGATTGATTTGCATCGTTAATTTGTTTCAAATCATCATCTCTCCAAAACACACCCACAAAATGAAGGCAACAACAGCTCAAGGGGAGGGGAAAGCACCAAATTATGCTTGCATTTGTATTTATGTAATAAGCAGATGTCTACGCTTATATTACTATCCTTAACACATGAAAAGTGAGAAACAAACTCTTATCCACGTCCATAACACGCCCACATCAACCAAGCCTATGTCGTAGGTCAAAAAACTATAAAACAAATAATTAAACAAGCAATTGGTTGTACCAAACAGTTAAAACTCAAACTATCATTATGCACACATGTATTTGGTCTCCAAGCATCCAGCTCAATTGTGCACTTGAGATAAGATAAGATACAAACAGGGCTTCAAGTAACATTCAAATCCAAGTCTGACAAGATTTGTGGCCCCAACAATTTTCTTCAAAACAGATACACGCAGCAGAGCAGCAATAGAAGTGGATCCACACAGCATGGACATACAAAAACACTATCAAGTTCAGCCAACAGACTCACCATGGACTTTTTTCTACTTTCATCCACCATTCACAATCAATGATCGAAGAGCATAGCAATAGAAGGAAATCAATTCAAAGGTATGCCAATAATAATGGAAGAGGAGAAGTAGAAACCACTTAGATAACAAAAACTGCAAAGGATTAGAAGTTCCCAGCAGATGCGCAACAACCAAGAAAGCATATAAGGTTCTTCTAGCAGGTTGAAATTCTCAAATCAAGATTCCTGAGCCAAGTAACTACCAAAATTGAAAATATTAGAACATCAAATGCTAATCAATAAGTGCTTACGGAAAACAATACAATCAGTAGATGACAAAGATGGAAGACATGATTGTCCACATATTTTGAAAGCAACAGAAAGCAAACAAACTACAAAAACTAGCACAAAGTACAAAAGCTCAATACTAAATTTACTACTAGTAGAAAAGTGAAATATCACAAATAAGTCATTGGGTAGAGTACAAAATTATCTAACTTTCTAACTGTCTCTTTCACTACCAGGTATTATCAATGAACAACTCAAAGGTGCAGTTAAACAGGAGAGGCCACAAAGTAAAGCTAATGCATTCATCAAACCAGAGTTACAGTCTGCATTCAACGCAATCACCAGAGCACATAAAGCATCTGCGCGCAACAAGCATCATAACCTGAATCAGAAACCCATTTAACTAAATTCATAACTACACTCAATCATACAAAGAAAAGATCATACTAAACGAAAGAAAGCAATTCAAACATAATGTTATAACAATCATCTACCCTTTCTTAAAAGCCACTAATAAGAACAAATGGAATTCAAAATTTAAAATACAAATTCAACCGGAACTGACGTTGTAAAGCATGATATCATTGACATTGTAAAAGTGTAACAGCGATTCAGCACCCATATTTACAAATGAAATGCCCAAAAAAAAAAAACAACACCAGCTCATTCAAACACATGATCTCAATCTTAGATGACTACAATTTAGAACACCACAAATGGCAAACCAAGATATTTCCTCCACCAAACATAGAGGTACACAATAAAACCAAGTCATAGACTAAGAGTCTAAGAGAATAGGTCTGATGGGTAAGGACTTGACAATATTCCAAAAGGACTCGATTTTGATTACTGCAATTAGGGAAACAGTCAACTTTAACGGTGAATAAATATATTCAACAACTAGCTTCTCCAAGAAGGCAAGAACATGAAACCAACATTCTCAAAATATACAACTTTTCTAAGCCACATATTATGAGCTAAGGCAAGGGATAAAGCGCAGTACAAATGGCAGTGCTCAGAATGTGAAACAAGTCATGTATGAGAGAAAAAAAATATATAAGAGTAAAAGATGAGAGTGTCTCTTCATTCCTCAATTCCAAACGGTAGGTCTAAAAGAAAAAAAGATGGGGGTGGGCAAGGACAGGAAAAAGTAGGAGAGCAAAGGCTTCATTCCAATTAGAGAGTAAATGAACAAAGAAAACTTCACCCCTCAAATTTCATATCCAACATGGTTAAATGACTTAAAACATATGTAATAATAATAATGATAATAATAATAATAAATTTCAAAAAATTATTAAAACACCAACTCGCACTAACATTCAGTTGGGTTCACAATTTGAGATGATTAAAATTAGGTGCTTATTAAAACATACACTCCATAAACTTGTTAATGTTAATAAAGTAAAATGCTCTAGGAAACCACAAAGGTTAACATCTATGAAGTTTTGAATACGGAAAGTAGAGAAAATAATCAACTTAGCAGTGAATAAATACATTAGACAACTAATTCTTCTAAGAATATGAAACCGACATTCCCAAAAATCCAACTTTCCTAAAAAATGTAATATATGGGCTAATAAAGGGATAATTTGCAGGACAGGTATAATAACTATCAATAAAGCAGAAGAATATAGAAGAGAGAAGAAGGTGAGAACGTCGCCTTTTTCCATAAATAAATGGTCAGACAACAAAAGAAAAGAATGGGATATGAAATAACAAGCAAAATAGAAAAGTGAAGATTTCACCACCTTTAGAAAGTAGATGCATAGAAAAAAAATATGTACCCATTCTCAAATTACATATTCTACATCGTTCTAATACAAATTAACTTAAAACATGTGATAAATAAAAAACCAGCTCACAAGCAGACTAAAAATTGGATTTATGTCTAAGATTTCTCATTATTTAGTTTATTTTGAGAAAACCCATTAGTATTTGAACCTTATAACTCAGGTCGGGTAACTCTCAATCAAAGGGGAGAAAACCCCCAAGCTCAAGCATTTCATTTATTGTGTGGTATCTAACACCCCCTGTAACGTATCAAATCTAATTCAATTCCCCATCGTGATCTAGTTAGTTATTGGGACAACAAAAAAAGTTTGTTATTGTTCTGCAATACTTTATCCTTCCCTTGAATCATTAGGGTTTGACATTACTTCAGTGATCTTTAACGTTTCAGTTTCTATATTTTTGAGAAACATATAAAAAGATTTATACAAAGAAGACCATGAAACAACCTAGGAGTGGGGGGCGAGGAGCCTCCCCCACCACCCCCCAAAGGCCAAAACCATAGAGCGACCAACCAAAGGAGAGCCTTTCAGTCTGAAATGATCACTAGAAGGCTACAATTATGTTAGACGCCACCACAAAGCAGTGTGCTAGATGAAAATGACAACATACAATTTTTTGTGCTGCTTCCATGATACCTTTTTTCTTAACCCAGTTTGACATCTAAATTTCACTCCATTGGGATCACTGCTCGAGATAATTTAAAACACATCCTCAATAAACCAAAAACGAAGCATCTATGGGCCACCATACTATGGAGTTCAAGTTAAGAGAAGCATAAATATCTTAATAGAAGTCAATCAAGTTACAGCTGAAAATTTCATCCATTAAGAAGATTGCCAAATGCAAAGAAACAGAAGACAAGTACGTAGACGTGTGTGCGATCAGCAGAAGATGCCCAATGAAGCAGTAGAACGTGTTAGAAATGTAGGAAATGTAACGGCTAAACTTCAAATTTTTTGACAATTGCATCACACTCACATCTATGTTTCAAGCTACAAACACATAATCCATGAATAAGTTAAATTCTTTACAGTGTAAATTGAATTCAACAAGAAAAATAACCACACAAAGATAAATAAGTACACAAATATTGGGAGTGAGGTTTAAAAGGCACAACCAACGAAAAAAAAAAACAAAAAATCAAAAGTGGAAATGATTTATTAAAATAATTTCATACTGTTTCAAACGCAATAGTCACCCTGACAACAAGCCGGACCCAGAAAATATTGGAGCAAATTTTACAAGCTAAATAATAAACAAAACTAAATATAAACAAAGCAGAAAACACAGATTTGCAGGCAACATGCATCTATGGGAACCTCGTATGCTGAAAGCGGTAATACTAAAATTAGTAACGAAAAAACACCAGCAAGCAGAGGGGGAAAGGATCGCGGCGAAGTATTTTTCAAACAAACTTGAAGAATAATAAGATCAGGCGACGTGGTACCATTAAACAATCTAAAGTCATACTGCATGCAATAATTGACAGCATGAATTGAAAATGAGTATACCTCAGTAATAAGGTGGCACATTGGGATACATTCCTCCAGGTGGAACACGTGGTGCTGGTGATGTTCCTGCCTGTTGATGGAGCTGATTTGGGTGCCCAGATGATGACGACATGCTATAATGCCCACCATCCGGATAACCACCAGAAGGCATTCCAACCGAACTCTGCGGCAACCTGTACAGAGATGAAGCACCCCCAACTCCACCCAATCCACCACCAGAACCACCCAAACCACCACCAACACTTCCCATGCCACCATAAACTGAGGACCCTGGTCCGCCATACCCACCACCATATGGACCGCCGCCGTATCCCCCGGAGCTTCCCAACGAAGATGGAGCCTGACCACCGACCGAAGATAGTCCTGGTCCCATTGACGAGTTGATCGGATGATGACCCAGTGGCTGTCCCCCTTGAATTCCGCTCGAAAAGCCTCCACCATAGGATCCCATGCCTCCAGGCCCACCATATTGTCCGCCTGAACCGGGCATTGCCGACGGAGGAGCCATACCCATACCGTCTCCATGCACGTTCCCTTGACCAGCCACCGGCGCTTGAATTCCATCCTGCCCACCACCAGGTTTCCCTTTCTTCCCATCGTTAGCGAATTTACAACTCAACTGCCTTCCATCAATTGTCTTGATTGGATCCACCAGAGCTGCTTGGGCCCCCTCTGGTTTCTTGTATACAAACAAAGCGTAGCCTCTGCATTTTCCCGTCTGCTTATCGAACCCTAGCGGTCCCTCCTCAATTTCTCCATACAGCGAAAAGTGCGCCAACAGTTTATCAGCCGGCATATCCACCGGAACATTCGCCACATAAATTTTCCTCAACGACAAGTCCGCAGCGTTCGAATTCTGCCCGGAAATTCCCACCGCAGCCAGTTGCGTCACCGTAACGCGGCCATCAATCGTCTTACTCGGCTCTTTCAAAGCGAGGATAGCACCATCCACGTGCTTAAAGGTCACAAAGCCATAACCTTTCGATTTCCCGGTTGCCTTGTCAATAATAACAACCGCTTCTTCAAGCTCACCAAACGCGGAAAAGAGCGAACGCAACCCTTCAGTACTCGTGTCGCAACTAAGGCCACGAATAAACAGCTTCCGCTGTGACACATCCCGGTCTGCAATAGATCGCACCGCATCAAGAACATCCATGTGACGCGAAACTGCATCCTGGAGAATATCAATAAGCTGGTCCGGAGTGAAACGATCGATAATCTTGCGAGCGTCTTCGGGGGTAATTCGTGAATTGAAAGAATTGTCGGAGTCGACGCCATTTTCGTCCATCCTCCGCTTCTTGGTGAGGTCCATAGCGGAGAAGAAGAAGAAGAAGGAGGTCCCCGGAAGTGCAGAGTAGGAGTAGAAGAAGAATGTGAAGCTAAACCCTAATCCGAGTCTGGGAACGATGACCGTGACGAAGAGGGTGTGTTGCGAATGGCGGGCGGTTGATTTCTATAAGGGTTCTTTTGGGCTGGGCCGTTTCTGAATTGCGGTGTGTCAGACCTCTTTCTGGGCCTATTGGGCTTTATAACAGAGCCCATTCGGCCCGTATGCTGTGTGTTTCACTAAAAAATGTTGGTAAATTTATGGTAAATGATATTGTCCTTGATTTAGTGTTTTCTCAATTATGTCCACACTCTAGTGAATGTTAAAAATATTAAAGTTGATTAATGATAACTTACTTCACGTAATTTTCAATGAGTTTTAAAAAATTATAAATTCAATTAAATCACTCCGAAAAATGAGGTTTATAGTGCCCACATCCAATTTATAAGTTTAGTAAAATTTTCGACTTTTGATGGACTAATTTATTATCTAAATTTCCATTAGATATCATGTCATATCAATTAATCATCGATCAATTTAAGTATATTTTAAAAGAAAGTTAAAATGTAATACACTAAAATAAAGCGTTTTAACATCAAGGACTTAATTAAAAAAAAACATATATTAAGGACAAAAATATTTGTTTATCCATGATATTTCAAAACACGGATGAATTACAAGTTTAGTCTTGAATGAACCACTACGAAAAAGGATTTGAGTCTGTCCATGGCAAATGATTCAATCTAACATTGTTTGCGGTAAACTATATTGTTTTTAAATATTGATGAGCGATTGGTCTAACAAGCATTATTTTGATTCGACATACTTGACATTAAGGAATAAGTACAAGTGTACATTCCATCTAATATGTCGAGATTTTTACTCACATTTTCATATGTTATTAATCTGTCAATCAAAGATGATAAATATAAGCATAGCTAAATGACATTTCTTGTTCATTCCAAATTCCAAATTCCAAATAAAATATTCAAATATTCATAAGCACTGTGTGACAGTAAACATATATCCAGAGGGAAAAAAACATTTTGATTGGACAAGAGAGTGACTTCCATTTGATTTCAATCTAATTCCAAATTCCAATCCCAAAATTACAATGGATTTATTCAAATTAGAGCGCCCAGCCGAGCGGTTCACGAGTGAAATTATGTTCGAAATTGGATTTTGCGGGCACTCTGCTGTTGGGTCATCCGGATTTTCTCCTGCAAACTCATTTCGGGCGATTCGCTCTCTGTCGCCGGTCTGTTCATCGATCTCTACCTCACCGATTTGTCATTCACTCGAATTCCACACAGTATTCACATGTAAATTCTTCTCTGTCGCCTACATTTATGGAATTTTCCCGATAATTTGTGTTCGTTCTTTGATTTCCCCACTCTGTCTCTAAGTTTCAGTTAGAATTCTGCCCCATTAACATCTCTGTTTTAGATTTCATGGCAGCGGCCTTGAAAAGTCGTGGCACACTTCTTTATGTTTCTTTTTATTTTCTTAGGCGTAATTTTCCTTGAGTTGTTTAAAACTATTTTTCATGCATTCGTCAAGATTTGGAAGGCTGAGTGAAGTTGAAGCGCAATGTGACTCGATTTGCTATCTTGCATTAACGAAATCTTATCTTATTATCTTCTTCGTTCCTACCAGTGTGGTTTAACCATTTTGATAATTTGGAGTGTTCACTTTGAAGATTTTATTATTTGCTCAATATTCAGAGGATGTTTCTGCATTAGTGAAAAGTAATCGAAATTCAACGTGAAGAGTGATTTGCAAATGTAGTGAATGTTTTTCCACATGGGTCGAAAAACATGAACTCAAGTTAGGTATTAAGCTATTACTTTAGTTGAAAAGTCGAAATGAAGTTACGATTAGTTTCGTTTTGGAATTCAATTGATAATGTTGGTAGATTTATGTTTCTCATTTTGAAGTTATATTTTCCATCTTCTTAATCATATGAAAAAAAAAAGGTTTTAGAATTTATAGTTATTTGTCAGAAAGAAGTGAAGCATTATCACTTTGTCAACTTGAGAATGCTGTTATTTTTACAAGGGCGGGAAGAAAAAGTATGAGATGTTTCAACTTTCTTTTATGAGAAATATTCATTCTATGGCTTATTTGAATGTATAACAGGAGTTTATCAGGTGCAACGCCATCTATTAATCTAGCTCGAAATTCTGTTCTCTGGAAGATTTTCTGTTACCCAGTAGCCATCAATCTTCCATCAAATGTTGTACCAGTGAATCACCAGATATCTGTTATAAAGCATGATTCATCAGTTTCCCCTATCAGTATCCTTAATAGAACAAGTCATTCTCTTCCCCTACTTTTCATGGCTGACGAGGGTAGAAACTCCAACTTTGGTTGGTGCTACAAGTCTAAATGTTCCTTAGATTCATTGGAGAAGCGCGTTTATTACAGAGAGATAAGCGATGATGATTGTCCACAAAATCTGGGTAAAGAAAATGATAAGGAAAGCCAGAGACGAAGGAGGATAGGACTAGCAAATAAAGGGAATGTGCCATGGAACAAGGGCAAGAAACATAACATGGGTAAGAGCATTTGGTAGGTCCTCTAGGTGTGATGAATTTTGAATGGCTGCAACAGGTTATATTTGGTCAAGTCTGGAATTTTAATCTCTAAATATCCGCAGAAACTCGTGAGCGAATCAAGCAGAGAACAATTGAAGCCTTGAGAGACCCCAAGGTGAAGTCCTAACTAATTAAGTTCATTTGTAAGTTTTACCTTTAAATTATGCTCTCTAGATGCAGTTGTAATGAATGTAGTCCATATCTTTCTGCATTCTCGTGTTGAACATCCTGATACTCATTGCCACATATGGTCTTCTTCTCACTGAAAGCCTTTTTTCCATCTAATAAGAAACTCAAACTTGTATCAAGTTTAACAAGTAACAAACAACTGGGCCACACATAAAAGGAAAAATAATAATCGAAAGGCCATTGAAAAGGAAGGCATGCTCATCTTTTTTTAACCAATTTACTAATTCTATTTTGTATTTTCAAGTTTTTTCATTTTTCATTGAATGTTTCAGGTCAGGAGGAAGATGTCCGAGTATCCTCGCACTCATAGGTTTCACTCTTAACTTTTAACAACTGTATTATTATTTTTTTTTTGGAAGCATTTAACAACTGTATTTCTTAATGCAGAAATGAACTAAAAAAAAAATTGTTTTCCCTAGAAGATGCAAAATAGCTGGTTATACTCATATGATATGCCCATCGTATTTTCAGAGCAATGATGGGACTAGGCATTAGGGAGGGTTGAATAGCATGATAAGTACATAAAACATAGAGTATTTGGATACATCAGAAAGCTGTTGATGTGTTCTTTTAGTATGTTATAAGGTGACTTCGTTGGAGGAAGATGTTGTCGGTTTGAGTGAGTTTCCTCATTATCAAGTTTATTTAGCTTGATGAGGCAAATCTCTCGACTGTTTATCAGTATCATAGTATCAACATGCTAGGCAGTAGTTAAGATGCAGTGGTGCATTATTCTATTTGCAGTGATCAGGTCAAGGTTAAAATTAGCTCTTCGCTCAGACGTGTTTGGGGAAAGAGGTTGATGAAGAAGAGATTAAATGAGACATTCTTTCTGTCGTGGAGGGAAAGCATAGCCGTTGCAGCGAAGAAAGGAGGTAAAGAAGCAGAGGAACTCGACTGGGACAGCTACCAGAAGATAAAACAAGAAATGCTTCGCCAAAAGCTTCAACGGGCTGCAGAGAAGGCAAACTTAAAAGAGACGAGAGCAGAGAATGCAAAAAAGAGAAAAGTCGAACGGAGGATTCGGAAGGAAGAAAAAGGGGATGGCAATGGGAAATTAAAGAGAATGAAAATGTGTTCTAAAGGAAGAAATGGGCGGAAAAGAAAGGCAAAAGAGGGAGAAGACATCCAGAGAGAGATGAAGAAACTGACTGCCATTGAAAGATCAAGACTTAAGCAGAGATTGAAAAGGGTAAGGACCAGGCCTTGTTGATTTACTTTATAGTTTGAATGAAACTGTAGTTTGTCAAGTAGAACTGTTCTAAAACTTATGATTCCATTAGATGGGTCAAAATTATAGCATGCATAAAATGGAACTGACCTGTAACAGGAGTCAACCTATCAAAACTAATTGGAAATGCAAATTTGAGGCCAGCATTCTTAATTTAACTCTGAAACACCAAAATGAACTGTCGATACTAATGCAACCATATGATAATGAGCTTCATTATGTTTTTATTTCTTCTTCTGTTAATGTTATGCTCTTTTATTTGTCTCTGAATCTAGATTCGCAAAAAGATTTCAATAAATGGTGCGGTCGCTGCTCGAGGAAGCATAGCATCAGTAATACCCCAAAACACATCTTGGGAAAAACTGGATCTTGATCTTATAAAGAAAGGTCAAATGAGGAAAGGAGTATCCCTGGCAGAGCAGATTCAAGTTGCCAAAAGTAGAAAAGCAGAATCCATAGCCTGCAAAGTTCTTTTAGCCTCTACTTCGACCTACCAATGCACTGGAAGAGCGGAAAAGTAACCACCGACTGAACTTCACTCGCAAGAAGTTTGCAAATATTCGGTGTCTGAAGGTGACTTTCCTCCCATTCAAGGTGAGTTTTCCTCCCATTTCAAGTCTAGCATCCAATTTGATGAAATTGAAAGGAGAGTCTCCATTCTGTTATTGTATTTATCAATAACTTATTTTTTTATATGAACTTTTCTTCACTTTCATTGTCAATTTTCTACTGGGAGACGAAGAACGCTTTTCGGGTTTTGTTCGACTTGATAAGAGCTCTTCCAGTAGTTCTTCTATTCCGGAACACTTTCAAAAGTTTCTTTTGCATTTTCTACATGTTGGTAATTCTTGTTTTCGCTCCTGCAGATTCTTGGAACATTTAGATACATCGGAGTCACAGATGCTTGTTCTGTTCTTCATGGTAAAACAGTTTGAGAAACCTCTACAACTCGAGAGTTTTTGAAACTTGAAAACAAGGTAGTAAAAAGAGATGAAAAAGGTTCTACTTTTGGCTGTAGTCTGTGTTCTGTGTTCTGATGACTCCCATTTTATGCCTTTTGCTCTATCTGTTCCATAATTGTGTGGTGGGTTTATGCAAAGATACTAAATACCTTGATGCAATTCTGAAGTCAAGTTGTTATATTTAGGACCAAATGTAGGGATTCTTTTCTTTAATCTTTGTAATTGATAAAACATTTCAAAGAAAAATTATGTTGGAAAATAATTTTATTGATCAATTACGATTCTATATGTTCATCTCTTGAAATATAAATATTGTATGCATTAAATTTACATCTTTTAGAGGTAAAAATCTAATCAAAGTTGTTGTAAAAACTAGGTTTAAATCTTGCCAACCAGACTCGTGATAGCTCAACGGATTAAGGTACCTGTGTCCAATCAGAAGGTTGTGACTTCAAATTTTCTGTCCTATATGTTGTATTAAAAAAAGGTTTAAATCCTATTTTAGTCTTTATATTTTTTATTTTTGTTTATTTTGATTCCTATATATATATATATATATWTTTTTTGTTTATTTTGGTTTCTATACATTTAATGTACATTTAGATTCTTATATTTTTAACTTTGTCCATTTTAGTTTCTTGCTTTCAAAACGTCTATTTTAGTCTCTATATTCTTAAAATGCGATCATTTTGATATTTAATTGTAAAACTTTGACATAAACTTGGTGAACTTTATCATAGTAGGAATTCTATGATACAAAATTATGGTACCTTTCAAGAGACTAGTGAATGTCATTTCAAAAAATTTAGTGAATAAAATGTTATGTTAAAATTTTGATTGATACAAATGAGATAAAAATTAAAATTAAAAACCAAAATGATCATTTTTTAAAAATACAAGACCAGAACCAAGGTTCATAAGTAGAGACTAAAATTACCATTTATTAAAAAAAATGTTAAATGAACTTTGTATTTCTAGTTTTTGTTTAGTTTTTGTTCATTTTGATCTTTATACTGGTTCATTTTTCTCCTACGAACATTTAAATACAGCAGTCGGAAGGCATTTTAAAAATACAGAGATCAAAATAATATTTTAACCAATAAAAATATATTGACAATTAGTAATCCAAACACTCATAATCATTTGGAAATAAGCATAACATTTAACAATGATCAAAGTTTTGATTGGACCGGTTTTAAAAAAATGCAGTTTTAAATAAATGCAATAACAAAATGAGATCTCACGATGGATAAACACAAAATTAAGCGAATAATTACCAGTGTCAAAGCAAACATAGCTTAGTGGTAATCAATATATATCTTCAATCAAGAGATTGTGAATTCAATCTCTTACCCCACGTATTGTACTAAAAACAATTGCCAAAATCACTAAATGGGACAATGTAGAGGGGAGTTAATTGCAACGAAGTGGCCAAAAGAGACAATATCACATTGCCCACTTCACAAACAAAGATAACATTATGAATATTACATCATCTCATGCATCTCTTTGAACTGTACTTGCATTTCAGAACATCTAACAGGTTTTTAGCATATGCTTACCCAGAAAAGCGAAACTAAACTCATTGTCTGTAGCACCAGAACAAATACTACTAAGTGACCAGTAGTAGGATTTGGGATTTGAATCAAGCAGCGAGTAAAAACAACCAACCAATGAATTGCACAAGTTCGAGACTTCCCTAACCAGTTGATGACCTATTCTTGTTGATTGTTATGCACATTACTAGTCCATCCATGAGCATTAGACTGCATCGCTCCTCCATGGCTGTTTTGTTGAGGCGACCCAACTCCGTTTGAGGGTCCACCATAGTTGTTTGGAGGAGGTGGTCCTCCCCAATAGTTGTTTGGCTGTGGCCCCCCATAGTTGCTTGGTTGTGGCCCCCCATAGTTGCGGGGTGGTGCTGGTCCGGAGTTGCTTGGTGGTGGTGGTGGTGGTGCTCCTGCATAGTTGCGTGGCGGTGGTGCTCCCTCGAAGTTGTTCAGTGGTGGAGGTGGTGCTCCTGCATAGTTGCGTGGTGGTGGTGCTCCCTCGAAGTTGTTCGGTGGGGGTGGTGGTCCTCCCCTATAGTTGTTTGGTGGTGGTGGCGGTGGTCCTCCCCAGTTGTTTGGTGGTGGTGGTGGTGCATAGTTGCTAGAGGGCATTCCACCATGGTTTTGTGGCGGTGGTGGTGGTGCAAAGTTGTTGGGAGGCATATTACTTGGAGGTCCTCCACCCATGTTAGGTCCAGTAGGCTGATTCCCTGAAGCGTTTGGAAAATCTCTATTTTGCATGTTCTCCCTCCTCCTTTCAAAATTTCTTGACCTGTCAAAATTACGAGGCCTATCATTGCGCCTATTCCTTTCATTAGCTCGAGCATTGTTTCTAATCCACTCCTCGTGGTACTTCGGGTCATATGGAACAGCTTGTCCATTTATAAAGGGCTCCCCTGCCAAAGGAAACCAAAAATACACAGCACATTAGATAATAGTTCTGTGCAACTCCTTACTCAACGGCAATATAGTTTAGAAGAGGAACCAACAAAACAATTTGATAAGTTCTCCAAAAGGTAGGGGAGATGACAAAAAGATACAAGCTTTTCATTTTCAGTTTTGTTCGTCTGGCGTGAGGATAGGGAACTGGTAGATTAGAGCTTTCATTGAAATGCTCCATTTACTGATGGTCCAGCAGGAGTGCATTATATAACCTAATACATTCTAGTTTTCTTGACATCTTAAGAATGAGACCTGAATGAAACAGGATCCTATACCCTCATACAAGAGCTTTAACTTCTAACCTCCTCAGGATTCTTTGTTTTCCTTGAGAGAAAAGCTACTACTTTGTATGGGATATTATTTTATAACTTCTTTTCTGGGCCAAAGGTACATGTACTATAAATCCATATGATATGGTGTTATATTAATATTATCTTAGCATTACAGTCAAAGACCATCTTCTGTGTAAGCGTATTAATTTAACTTCTAGCAGTTTAAATGGAAATAGAACCATGCTATCGTTAACATTTTAGCTTAAAAAATATCTTCCACCTCCAGATGAGGGATATTGAATTAAAACTATTGACCTCTATTTATAATTATTGGTTGACGATATGAAAAACAAGATCAGTACAATTAGACACTGACAAAAAAGTTAAATACTTTATTAACTAACTAAATAAGAAAAGGAAATATACCTCCATAATCTTTATTCTTAACATCCAAGTATGAATCAGGAAGGACCCAACGGACCTTAGGCAGCTCTGAGGAGAAAAGGGCATAACAAATTACAATCAACACAAAAGATATAAATACCAAAACAAGAAGTGAAAGAAAACAAGAGATAAAGGTATACCTTTGATCTTGTAAGAGAGTTCTTCAGAAACAAGGCACCCAAATGCAAAGTAGCATCTAGTTGAAACAGAGTATATCTTCATCCTAGCTTCTTCCTCACTGTAACAATAAGATACAAAAGAGGGAAAATGCAGTAAAAATCAAAGACCTGAACAGCTACAAATACCATTTCTCAAATAGACACCAGTATACTGTAAAATTATCATGAAGTGAAGGCACCAACAAAACAGAATAGTATCTGCAGTGAGCCACAATTCAATTCAGATTAATTATTTATATAAACAGTCGATGCTGACACAAACCCACATATAATCCGCTATTATGTTCTAAATATCCGCACATAATCACTAAAACACCAGAAGAAACACAATTAAATGCGATTATCAGGGTTGAAAAGAGAGATTCAGCGCAATCGACCATAACGATATTTCACCTTCCGACAACCATGGAAAGAGTTTTGATATAGCTGTCGATAATCTCATCCCTCGTGGGTTCACCCTCTGGCTTCTCCATGACAACAAGCCAGTGCTCAAAATCACACCCATCAAGCAAAATGGTCTCCTTGGGTGGGCGATTAGACCAGTTAGGGTTGGGATCGTTGAGGGACGAAGACGTGGCACGGGTGGAGAACTCCCTCGCGCTCGGCGCCGGAGAGAGCCTCCGGAAATCAGCGGCAACAATAGCAGCGAGGGGACGGAGGCGGCGAAGAAGGGAGAAAGAGGAGTGAGAAGAGGCGGAAACGGCGGCTCCGGTGGCGGTGAGAAAGGAACGGGAGAACATGGAAGCCAGAATTAGGGTTTTAGGGAGAGAGCGGTGGAAGAGGTGAGTCGCCATGGGAGAGGGCTCAGAAATGAGACGAGGGTTTTGCCAGGGCTTATTGACGCTTTAAAGGAAGCTTATTACAATAAATTATTGAAATGGAAAAAAAAATGTTAAATTACGAATTTAGCCCTTAAACTTATATATATATTTTAATGCACCTTAAACTTTTTTATTTATGTTTAATGGGATGTTCAACTTAACTTTTTTTTTTCTTTTTTTAATGGGTGACAGTGATTTCAATTTGTTATCAGGTTCTAAACTTTCTGATTTATGTTTAATACTTTGTTCAACTATCGATTTTATATCTTATAGATTTTTTTACCTAATCGATATTTTATTAAAATTATAAATTTATAATACACCATATTCAAAGCTTAGAGTTTTATTATAAAAAAAATTCAGTTTCATGCAAGGTTTTAAATATTGATTTGGATGAAAATGTCGATGAAATATCAATTAAATGTGATGGATATTTGTGGAAAAATTATAAAAATAAAACATTCATAGCAACTATTTAAAGAAACAAACCAACCTTTTTAAATAAGTTAAAAATTATTAATATTAACATTATGTTTATACCAGTAATATCATGTTGATATCTTTTTATATTTTGTCATTTTTTTACAAATATTATGGAAATTTCGATTCATCCTTATATCATATCGAATCCATGGACATGTGAAGATATCGACATGTCTGATGAAAATTTAATCTCCTAGTTTCATGTATCATTCATTAATTGAAAAAATGTCAAAGATCGGAGGATCTATAAAACACAAATAAAAAATTCAATAACCTAATTAGACATTTTTTAAAGTTCAAATATATGTTAGACACTCCTTGAAAATTATTCAACAAAGTCATTAGATGCAAAATTCAACGTCAAAATTGAAAGTTTTCCATTTAACTTTCTAAACGATATATTACAAAAATATTTAATGAAATAAAAACAATTTGTGTAAAAATCACTTTCCTAATATACTCTTCCAAATCTCAAAAATTTTTAATTGCTTTTTAATTATATTTATTAATTTTTTTTTTTGTATTCCTGCATTAACAAATATTTGAATAACAATTTTTTAATGAAAATAATAAATAAAAATAAGTAACTAGCAAAATTACCAATTATCTAAAAATTAAAATCTAAGAGGGTGTTTTGGAGTGATTTTAGGATGGTAAAATCATTGTTGGATAGGTGTCTTACGGCTATGTTCACGTTCACAAATTTTAAAAATTAATTAACATTACTAAAAGGAAATTTTGAAAATTTCTCACAATTATTTTAGTATTTCTTTTTTTCTTTTCCCTAACTCAATGCAGATGCATCTTTTATTCATTTACTATAATATATATCTAAAATTCTAAATGACCAAACGTTTGAAATCATACACAATTTTTAAAAATTGGTGCACAAAATCAAACACATTTGGAAGTTGCGACCAAAAAAGTATAAATTTGAAAGTTAAAAATCAAATTGGGATTTAAACTATAAAGAAACAAATAAGATAAATTACCTTTTTAAGTCATCAAATTTTCACCTTTTGTGTCTATTTGATCGAAGAATTCTCAAAACATACGATTTAGCTCCTAACTTAATTTGTCAAATAATTCAATATATTCCCTACTATTAATTTTTGTGTTTCATACAATAAAGGATAGCCGTGAAATAGTTCAATCTAGTCCCTCCAGTTTATTTTTGCGTTTCACACAATATATAAATAAATAAATATATATATATATACTATATTAAAAAGGTAGGAGGTAGGAAAAACATTTTTGGACACTTTTGCCCTTTACTAAATTTACAAATTATACCATTAATATATTATTACAAATATTAAATTAATTATTAATTATTAATTATCCATACTATAAATGCATGGAATATAAACAATTGGAATGCAAAAAGTTTTCCTAACAACATAAAATTAATTTTTTCTTTAATTAAAATTCATACTAGAATTTCAAGAGTTTTAGAATTTGAAAAATTTTTGTAATGTTTTATCCTCTACTACTATAAAAATAGGTTTCTTCTACATGTTTTTCACAAGTTTCAAAATACTTTTTTATTCTTAGTTCCTTCAAACATCTCTTAAAGATGATTCAATCATGAAAACATCTCGAGATATTTGTGACATATTCGTCAAGTTGTAAGGGAGGCATATGTTGAATCTACATATCTCGAATACTAGATTTGTGACATTATCATTCCACAATTTTACAAAGTTGAATAATAGTATATGTCAAGCAATCTTCAAGAACGAGCATATTTACTCTAAAAGATGAGTGTATAGTAAGTATTTGGATTTTTTTTTGTTATTATTGTTATTTTTCTAATTGGTGTGCTTTTTATTTGGAATGTTTCTTTTTTTTTAACAATTTTATTTAGTTTAGGATTTGGATTTTTTTTTGTTACTAATGTTTTTTTATTGTTTAGTGTACTTTTTTTATTTGGAATGTTTCTTTTTTGAGCAATTTTATTTTGAATATTTGTTTAAAATATAGATAATTACAAG